TAACATAACATAACATATAAGTTACAGGTCGATCAATATGGGAGACTCTCTCGCTGAAAGACACTCCGCTGCCCTAAAGATCCTTCACGATTTGGGATCGCTACTCAATGACGTGGAGTCACCGGGAGACATCGCGCGTGCTCAGGCCGATTACGATGCTGCAGAAGAGCGACACAGCCGTGAACCGAACCCAGAGAAAAAGAGGGCCCGGTGCAGGGAACTGGTTCAGTACGGAGATCAGTTAGATGAGGTGCTAGAGCAGCATAAGGCAGCTCAGGCAAAGCGCAAAGAGCAGCTGGACCTCTTTGACTCAATATTATCCAAAGAAGGGTATTATAAGCTCAGTGCTCAAGCTTCCTCTGCTGCTGGCACTGGTACCAGCTCCGATCTCCAACACAATCAAGCAACCGAGCAAGCCTCTGAAACGCAGGGAAATACTGTACAAACTCCAGGCCCCGGCCCCAGTCACCTTTCAGGCCCTCCCAACGACCGAGCAACTCCTGAGACTACCCAATCGCCACAAACCACCGGTATTCGGAACACGATCGAGCCCAGATCGACCCCCTCGCGAACACACAGCGCTACTCCATCAAGAAGAAGCTTCTCGACAGACGTCGATCAGCAAGTGGGAATTGAACCGACCAGCGAAACAACGCGGCCGCATAAGAGAAGTGGCATCACCTCTCTACCTCACTCTACAAAGCGCCACCGACAAAGTGCCTCAAGCGACACTACAACACAAAGAACAATTACTTTTGATGAGGTGTACCAAGGTGGCAAAGCTCGATGGAAACACAGAATTGTCAATATCCATGGGCTCTGCTATATCTTTGGATGCGAGCAACACAAAAAGCATTTCTGCAAGGGCAACCCCCTTCAGGCGGCTATGAGCCATATCAAAGGCAAAGGACACTCTATTAAGAGGTCCAATGCTACTCAGGCTATGAGATTGCTTGGGACTCAAGTCTTGCGGTGCACTGAAGCAGATCTCCAGCTGAATAACAAGGCTGTAGACAGTTACTTGGCAGAGCAGGAGGAGAAAAACAAGCATCGCAAGGCTTCTACCATGAACCTCGCAAAGGCTCCCCAGACGGATGAGATACACATGGCTTGGTTCGGTGACGACGATAAGGGCTATTGCCTGCACGCCTTTCTGGTCATGCCATTCTTCCCGCGGCCCGACGATGGCATGGACATCCAATCTGTTACACAGTCAGACCTTGATGTCGATATCCCCGCTTGTTACAAGCTTAATGAGACGTCTGATGGGTATGATTGGGCTGAGGGCTACGAGGAGCACGGGAAATATGCCAATAATAGGGTTTACCCGATAATGTGCCTTGTTGGTGAAGCCCCTCACAAGGTCGATTGGCTTCCAGTCTGTCACTTTAGGAAGCTCGATCTTGGAGACGAGGATCTGGAGGATAAGGACGTTATCAAGGCGTTCATGCGCAAAAGCACGGCAGGCAAGTATCGTTGACTTAGGCTATAGCCTTTTTTTTCACTCTACTAACAGAACCGGATACAGAACGTGGAAACGATATTGAAGATGAATCTGAAAATCTGTACGAAGATAGTACTGCTGGCGATAACGATGCGCCGACCAGTAGCCGGGAGAGACAGAGTCCCATTTGCAGGGCATCTGAGAACGTCAGTACAGATCAAAGTATCCGAACCGAGCCGATAGCAGAGAGCCAGGAGAGCACGCCGCTTGGGCCGAACCCCCCGACCCTAACCCTAATACAATTGGAACCGCGATGTGAACTCGATGCGGATATTGAATGGTCCAGCCACAGAGCAAGATGGACGCGCATTGAAGGAGGGAAAACAGGGGGACGAGGCGGAGACGTGCTGTCTCAAGCGGGAAGTCGTTTTCTTGCGTCTTTTGCGTATTAGCGGGTTCAACGTCATCTCCCGTGTTACTACTCGAAATGCGTGCATCGTGCCGAGCTTTAAACCGGCGGTAGTCGATGCTGAGTATCTTGCCGGTAATCAGTGTTCCCACCATTGAACCCACGCCATTGGCGATGAATGTCAGGCCGATCTGAGTTTCCGTGAGATCGTATCTATCTTCGAAGAGACTAGACATGGCTGTGATGCTCATCTGCCAAACAGCATAATAGACTGCGAGGAAGACGATGATGGAAGCGGCTTGCTTGCTGATGAGGATGCGGAAGGGTCCTGTAATGTCGATGTGCTTTTTGGCAGCAGGCGATGTAGAGACTGCGTCATTATTCTAAACGACTTTGGTCGTCTTCTGATAAACACGTAGAGGGTATTTGGCTAAGGCGTGTGCAGGTTCTCGGCTCCCATTACCAAAAATAGACCTCAACGTTTCAGGCAAGAGAAGAACCAAGAGAACCAGAAAAACACCGCTGTAGATGGTCAAGAACCAAAAGATAGATCTCCATCCAAGAGATCCAGCCAGCGCACCGCCGATAATAGGTCCCACTGCCACGGGTACCAACAGCCCTGCTTGGAAGATTCCCATGAGTCCACCGCGATTATCACGAGTTGTGATATCCCCGATTACACCCGATCCTATGGCAATTGTACTAGCACTACCAGTGCTCTGAACACATCTCAGCACAACCATAGTGGCGTAGTTCTTGGCCTCTGCTAAGCCGATACACGCCCCCAAAAAGACAATGAAGGTGAGCCAATATGCGACTCGACGGCCTTTGACATCTGATATCGGGCCCCAGAGACTGGGGGCTAGGCCTTGGAAGATAAGGTATGAAGTAACAGTGAGATTGATCATTTCAATTGAGACATCCAGATCGTGGGTGATGGTTGGGAGGGCTGGAAAATAAATGTTTGATGCGAAACCTGAGACTACGATTGCATTAACGAGGTAGATTCAGATTGAGGATTCTGCAGGGACTTACATGTTGCTGCGATGGAGACAATCGTTACGATCAAGGCAGTTTGGCGTTTGTCGAAGATGCTATAGGGCTGTGACGGCAATGGAGCCGCTGCAGGCAGTTCTCTTCCATTCATTTTTTACGATGTTTGATATAGTATCTTAGTGACTGAAGCAATTGACATCTTCGAGGAAGTGAATTTAAGACTGGTTTTATAGCATTGATTGGCATCTTGAGATCATGACGCAAATACGGTGGCTCCCGGAGTTCGGAGTTGAGAGATCTTATAGTGGGGACGTGGCGAACTCAGCTCCGAAGGACAAATGTAGCTCATACGGCGTGAAGTAGCGGATCTAAGACCTAAGTCCCTCAAAGGTTTTAGTTCTTAGATAAATATATTATCTAGTGTATATTAATCCGACTTATACAGCTAGATTCTTCGCGTCGGAGCTTTGTTTGGCTTTACATCTTGTTGGTAGGATGTGTGACCGCGAATTGGAATACTGCAGCTCGTATTCCCTGAACTTAGTAGACCTTATAAATTGCAAATAGCTAGAAACTCCTACTGACTTTATATAATTTGTATTTTTGTAAGCTGGATTAATAATTAGTACGGGCTTTATACAGAGAGAAGTTGTTATGGACAAGAACGCTGGAACAATTGCGAGACATTGGTAGGCTCAGTCTGTACTTGTAGCTAAAACGAGCAATTCGTCTACCACCCGCAGCGCGAAGCAGCACATGCATTAAACGGCCATGGCAATCTGTAAGATAACAGAGTTAGTATTCATACTGATATTAGTACTGTACATATACGAGGCAACGCGTTCAGTCTACGTCAGCTTAAATACGCCAATGATCCACCAAATCAGCACCTAACCTTTATACCCTGAGCAAGCAGTCATTGTCTAGACAATCCCGAAATGTGACATATCAATTTCCCGTTTATGTCTCTGGAATGGTCATGGTTCAGCTCTCCTCTTGATATTCACTGCCAAAGACCAGGCAGCCCAAATTAGGTATCTACGTAGTTGTCAACCCCTCATCTACGGCTGAGCGGCTTGCGGGAGGAATGCCGGGTAGCCGTCGCTAGCTTCCGAGAAGTTTTCAGCTAGCCACATCCCCATAGAGAGACGCGCAGGCTGGCTGAGACAAGTCCAGCTCATCTCTGTCTTTTATTCGTGCGATGCCGCTCTGACCCTTTTGAGGCCAGTTCTGGACCGTTGGCGTTTTTGTTCTTGCTGCTTATATATTCCCCCATTGCTGCTCTGTTTTTGTTTCTCTCCGTAAATTTATACCATCAGATCCTGATCCTCTCTCTTGCCTCTAAACCCGTTCTGAATCCATTCAATTTCTGAAACAATTGCACACGATCAATTAATAGACCAACCTTGACAAAATGTCTTACGAAACATCAGTCAGTCCCCTTACGTTTCGCTGGCCAGAAGGAAATGCTTACGCATCAGTAGACAAAGCCTACCATTTACATGATCCGACATGGAGAAATGCCCGCTGAAGTAGACGGGAAAGAACCAGATGGACTGTCTGCTCAAGGTAAAGAGCGTGCAAATGATCTCGTCAACGTCTTCGGAACGAATTCGCCCTACAACATTGGATACATCATGGCAGAGCATCCTCATCAAGGTCAGTGCCCCCGATCACATCTTTTCTTAGCAACGTTCTAATTGAAGTAGATGGCGGTCGCGATCGCCCTTGGAAGACCGTGGAGCCGTTGGCAGATGCGCTTGGGTTAAAGGTCCATAAAAAGATTGACCGGGATGATTACGCTGGAGCTGCAAGCAAAGCTTTGTCCTTCGAGGGTCCGGGAAATGTACTGCTTTGCTAGGAGCATAAATCCCTTGAAGGTATTGCTAAGGCGATTGGTATCCAGGGTTACGCGGCGGCGACTGGGTGGACTGGCGAAGTGAAGTATCCTGGCGATAGATTTGATCTGATTTGGGTTGTGCCGCCGCCGTATACGGAGATCACTGTTGTAGGAAGTGAACTGGTTCCTGGCATGGACGATGGAGTCCACGTCAACGCCAACGGAGATGTCCCCCCTCCTTCGGATAACTGATTTAATTGTAGTTACGAAAGACTGCCTTCAAAGCTAACTATATCTAATTTCATTTTTATATAAGGCTCTCGGGTTGATTGGATAGCTCAATGGCACCGAATCGGGTTGCAATGAAGCACCATCACCTGTGTCAATCGAGCTTTGTTCATCGTGCCACCAACGCGTACAATCCTACATACCACAATGCATGCGTCGGAGAATTCGCACACGTGATAGCTGCCGTAGTGCAGATCTGCGTCTCCCTCAACGAGAGGAGCGCATCATCGCTAAACCAATACTCGTAACTCCATTTCTGACAGAGAAAATCTGCTTTTGGTGAAACCTGGACCATGAGCTAGTTGAAGAATGCTTACAAGCGTCTGGCTGGGTTTCCCCAAGAAACTCCTTGTCAACAGGGGCTGCGTCTGGTGCCCAGTGCATGTCAAAGTGGTGTTGGGCTCGCTCCTCTTTGACCTTTGTTGCCTCTGCTGAACCTAGAGCTTCGTTCCTATGTGCTATTTAGTATGGAACAGGCATGGAGAACGCATCTTGGTAACATGTACCTAGGCCCATACGCATTGATATTCTCCTTGGCCATGCATGGATATAACGGCACGAGCGATCGTTGAACCTTGGGAAGCCCCATGAGAATGCTCGTCTTCAGCAGCGCTTCCTCGACACATCGTTGGACGATTTTATCCTGGCATGACTCAGGTGTTTCATATCAATCAAGAATAAAGCGTTATTATTAAGATTTATAATCAAGATCAACAACTTTATAAGACAATATGTTTAATAGCTAGCTAATACTTAGAGTGACAAGGTCCCAGGACAAGACAACAACCTGCTACGAAGTCAGAAGGGTAAGATAGTGCGGTATTATCTATCTATTACTAGTATGTAGACACAGAGAAGTGACAGCGCGTTATAAAAGCCTATGCATTTGGTAATCCATCTCTAGACTAAGGTGCAGTTGGAGCAACGACAGTGGGGGCTCGATCAACGAAAATGTCGACAGGCGTTAGGTACGACACTGCCAAGTCGTTGGCACCGAGATACACAGTCTTGTCAGAGCTGATAAAGAACTCGGTCCAATTGGCCTCAGTGGAAACAGTACAAGTCTGTCTGTCACCTGGCCCGCTCGCCACACAGTCCAACTTCACGGCAGAGCACTGAAGAGCAGTACCAGCCGCAGGGTTCCGTGCACAGACAAGACGAGCTGTGCCGTACTGGTAGTACTCGGCTGAGCAAGGAGTCAAGGCAGCGCTTCGATCCATGTAAACGTACTTTGCGCAGACGGGGATGCCGTCTCGGGTGAGGTATCCGGTGGTGTCATCGACGACGAAGCGGCCGACTGTCCATCTTGATGTACGGTCACCGAAGGTGATTGCTTCGCCATTTGTAGTCGTCGATTTCAGGGGGAGGCCTTGGGCGGCGCCTTGACCGGCGATGAGGAGATGATCAGTGGGAACAGGTTCTTCTGATGTGGTGGTTGCTGCCATGGCTGTAGAAGTCTCAACTGTGGTTGTCGTAGCTTCAGATGTCTCGACAGCGGATGTCTCGGTTGGAGCGGCGGTGGCCGTGTCAGCAGAAGTCACTGATGTGAATAGCGTCGAACCAGAGGTCGCTGGAAACGACGTCGAGGAAGCCGAGATAGTGGCATCGGTAGTATCAAGGCTGGTAGAACCAACAAAAGTTGAGGAGGCTTCAGTAACGGTGGTTTCAATCCCAGTTGAAGTTTCAGTGGCGAGAGTTTCGGCCGTGGAGGTCGCAGACTCAACAAACGTGCTGGAGATCTCGGTTGCAGAAGAAGAGGAAGTCACAGAAACAGCAGTCGAACCTATTTTGTCTCAGTCAACCCGTACTCCGACAAAGTATTAGAGGTAGGTCAATATACCTGAAGTCAACGGCTTACATGGGCTGGCAGCCACAAGCCCAAAGGCCAGAGAAAACGAGGCGTAGAAGCGCATGGCTAACGAAAGACTAAGGTGAGAATTAAATCGCCTACAGGTTCCAAAAAGAGACAATTCATCAGTGGCGGTGGGAGTGGCTTCTTATACCGTCAGGGGGCTTGGCGTCTTTGGAGCTATTGATCTCAGCTGTCACTAAACCCCTGTCATTTCCATAGCCGAGACAGAACTATCGATTGTCATCCAAGCAAGCTAACGGTGTTGGGGTCGATTCTTGTAGTAGCGCCCAGTAGTCAACGCCACACGTGCCATTTTGCTCACTAGTTTTATGCTTAGTGAAATTACGACCTTAAATACGCCTCTGCCTACTCCGGAGATCCGTTGTGCTGTTTGGCTGTACATATTCTCAGAGACATAATTACCTGTTGCATTATCTTGATGTTGAAGATGAGATGTATTCCAAGAAGTTCTTTGCAATGAGCCAACCTCTGGGGACATCAGAGAGCGCATTGACGTGCATTATGATTTCTTGACCTAGAATCCTGTCGGCCTGTAATTATTCTGAACGCATTCCGATAAGCAGTCCATCTCTCACAACCAATCTCTCTTCTTTGGTTCCCCTCTGAGTGAACATTCGCCCTATACCACAAAAGAAGTCTTTCACATTACCCATAGAGTCCTTTGGTGGCTCCTCAACCCGGATCATCCGTCCAACATCTTGGTCTGATGCAAGAGTAGCGCTCTCCAAGACTGGTCTAACATTGTCGCTCTGAGATATCTGGGCCACAGTGTGCCAGGCATTCTCTAGAAAGCTTGACTCTGTATGAGACAGGAAGATGAAGGCCATGACCAGGAATATCATGATGTTCCCGGCTACGATGGCCATCAACGCGACAAATCCCCATTTTGGACCTGGCGCCTGGACGAGATCGAACGTTGTGACCTTCGCTGGCTGTCCTGCCTCAGAATAAGATGTTATATGGTCATAGTATGCCATTCGCCAAACGAGTGTAGTCAAAGCTTGTATTGCCAGGGCAGGTGAGTTTGTTGTACTTATAATGTCGCTGAAGATCTGCCAAGTTAGAGGACTGACGGTGACCATTTCAGAATTTTCTGAACCAGCGGAGTCACATGAAGAACAAATGGCCAGGTTTGGAAACTCCAAGGTTGATAGCCAACTTCCTCTCTCATCTTCAGCCGTTCTTTCAGTTGTCGTTCTCCGGAGTCTCTTATGAAGACTCTGATTCAGCATGCTCGGAGATATATTTAGTATCTGTCGCCTGGATGCTTCCACTCCGTCTTGAGTACCGGCAGCGCCGAGCTGTCTCAGGATATCAGAAGTATCGTACTCATTACTACTTATGTTGAAATGATAATCGGGCTCAGTCAGGCTTGAACTCGTGTTTGCTGTTATTTTAAGGTGCTCGACCCTGTTCTCCCGTCAGCCCCTGCTCACAAAGCCGATTCTTGAACATAATCCCTACTCCGAGGCAAGCTCAGGCCCTAAGCACAATGTGATCTGTATGTATTCATCTCTTGTCTTGACTCCGTCTCTGAGCTTCACTCGGTTCCACTGCTGAGCCCAGGGGCCAGAATTGCTCGAGTTCAGAAGAGTCCAGGTAGTATTTATTGTCTCTGACTCAAAAGATAGCTCCCTATCTTCTATGAATGATAGATCGGCCAACAGTTTAAAGTGATATCCTTTCGCATGGGTTAATGCCCAGCGTTCTGTAAATTTTGTTAAAGGTGAATGAAGAGCGACCATCCTACGCTTTTCAAAACTGTCCTCGCACTTGCAGAGTAACCACCTCGTGGATATGTTATTGAACGGCCGTTGTCTCGGGATTCGACAGATGAAATAGCTTGAAATCTGGTTGCCATGGCCTCCGGGTACTATTGTCAACCTAGTATTGTTGTATATTTGATATGGTGGAAAGTTTGATAAGTCTACTGTCGCATTCAGACATAAGGACCAATCGCCTTGTAGACCCCGAGAGCGACAGTACTTAGCAGTAAACCTGGGCCGTACGCATATCACACGAGTGTCGATAACTCGAGCAATGCCGTTGAAGGACTGGATAGACTCCCTCTGAGCCTTGGTTGAAATGGGAAGAAACGCTCTCAAGACTGTTCCAGTATCGTCCAACTCCTCAGACGACTCTCCAGGTTCAGAATACTCTGCGAATGTCTCAGATTGATACGGGGCTCTATTCCAGTACTGTAAATCGTCTCTTCTTATAGGTAGAGGTCTCAAATCCGGGGCTGTAGAGTCATTTACCACTCCAAAGTTGAATCCATAAGTCATGTTCTTCTTTAACGATAGAATGGAGAGTTCTTGGAGATCGGAAACTAGCAAGGTAGAAGCGAACTGCGAAGCCCCAACGAGCGCAAAAAGACAGATCATGAGGATGCGAAGCCAGGGTCTGAATGTTGTCCCAGGAAGCATTTTCTTCAACGATTGCGGTCCGCTGTTTGTGAAGCGGGCAATGGATACTTCTGCGATAGCTGACATCGGTACGCCATGAAGTTCTAGTGCAATTGATGCAGCCATAGATGTCGTGATAGCAGCGAGAGTACCGATGGCCCATCTTATAAGAACGCTCATCAGCGTGATTGACTGGGTTGCTCGTCCACTGAGCATGAGCCCTCGCCAAGTCTCTGATTTCCTGTCCTCGAACCAGAGCCATGTTAAGAAGACGACGGCTTCTACCAAGACGACAAAGGATGTAGCGATGGCTAGCCAGACACCAAAACCTATTGACATCAGGCTGTCGCTTGGGCTGCTTGAGACATTTTGGCTGATTGGAGGCTTTGCATTTCTAAATTCTCGTCTTGGCTTTGGTCGAGGTTGTCATAATCAGACCGACATAGATGGTCTCTGGAGGAAGATTGACGACTCATCATGAAGCATGTTAAGACGAAGCGAGTTGCTGCACTAATGGGGTAGACAAAACATTTAGGAAATGAGAATTATTAGTACCTTGGAGCCATCTTAATAGCCATCCCATGAAAGACTTCGAGCCCGGAGGCTTAGTTGTACTACTATTACACAGTTGCACATATACGAGAACTCATGTTACGAATACAATCGTCAAGAGGCGATGCGAGTTACACAAGTCAGCAATCTCGATTGGCGGTCTCACAAGGCGTATTCCAACCCGTGATCACACACACTATCTCTAAGAACTAAAGTCGGCGAATACGCCTCGGGGCATGATAAACCGAAGGTGAGTCACACCATGAATTTCTGATTCATTGACCAAGTTTACCCCGAATGATCGGAGGTATTTTGCTTGAAGAGCAGCCTCTTCGGGTCTAGTCTCGCCATTCCTGCTGCGGGTGAGACCGCGAGACCCTATTCCGGACTAGCTGACTTGGGCGTTACAACCTCACAAGTATAAAATGCTGATCTATCATCCTCGAGTTCTGCTATCTCATCCGACAAACATCTCTTAAGTTTCTTATCGCTGTCAATTATTCTCAAGTCTTTTACAATGGAATTCGCCATGCCCCTTGAAGAGCGTCTATCTTTCCGCCAAGAACTCATAGACTCAGACGACAAGTTCATCCTCGACCTTCCCAAGGTTGAACTCCACGTCCATATCGAGGGCACTCTGACCCCCGAACTTCGCTGGAAACTCGCCAAGCGCAATAACCAGACCCTCAAGCTGGAGCGCACTGGAACTGTGTACACCAATCTTGAGCAGCTCAGAGCATCGTACTACATCATGGAGGCCCGTCCAGGTCATCAGATTGACAACGCCGAGGAGAGCTTCACGCTCTTTGAGGCTTACTACGGAGGATTTGAAGTTCTTGTTACTGAAGAGGACTTTTATGACCTTGCCATGAATTACTTTGAGCATGTTGCGGGTATGAATGTGAGGTACTGCGAGCCGTTCTTTGATCCGCAGGGTCATACGCGCCGTGGAGTGGCGTTCAAGACTATGATGGATGGCTTCCGTCGGGCACAGGAGGAGGCTGAGAAAACGCTGAATGTAAGTGAATACGGTCTCAGCTTTGATTATTGCTAACAAATTACAGGTCAAATCGAAGTGGATCATGTGCTTTTTGCGTGACATGTCACCAGAGTCGGCCATGGAGACCTACGACGCTCTTCTTCCTTACCGCGATATGGTTGTCGGAATCGGTCTTGACTCAGATGAAAACGATCGCCCTCCACTAATGTTCGAAGAGATTTACAGAAAGGCCAGGAAGGACGGCTTTCGCATCACTGCGCACTGTGATGTCGGCAACAAAGACGCGCATAAGCATATCCGCGAAGTCGTCAATGACCTCGGTGAGACTGGCGCCGACCGTCTAGACCACGGCATCAACGCCGCACAAGACCCCAAAATCATGCGTCGCATCAAAGAGAGAGGTATCGGAATGACACTCACGCCATGGGGATATCTTCGCCATGAGCCAGTTGATGAGATCTTCCCTAGAATTCGTACCTTGTTTGACGCCGGTATTCCGATTGCTATTGGAAGTGATGATCCAGCTTATATGGAAGATACGTGGATCTTGCATGATTGGCTCCTGGTTAAGAAAATGTGCGGGTTTAGTAATCATGATATGGCGACGTTGGCCAGGAGTGCTATTGATATGTGCTGGGCTGAGGATGAGGTGAAGGAGGAGATGAGAAAGGAGCTTGAGGAAGTTGTGGCGAAGTACTCAATATGAGTATCTGCTTTATCAAGGAACGGTTGGTGAAAATTGATAGAACATGGTGTTGCTGGAAGCAGAATAATTGCCAGCAAATTCAGCATCTTGGCCAGGTCTCCTTCTAATATCAGTTCTATTTCATTGTGATTTATTGAATCCTTGAGATACTATCGTAGAGGCCAATCGCCGTGTAGAAAGGTTCCCAAGTAAATTTAAAGTTCCACTGCCCCAAAGCTGTTGGGAAGTAACACCAATAAGCGACTATGTATAGACCAAGAGTCGGTTGCTACCCATATGGTTAAGCTTTAGGTTCCAAACGCAGCTGGTGGATGGGGACACGATGCTGCTTTATGGTTTTGCCAGGTCAGGTGTCTTGGTCTCGTAGCTTTCGCCAAATAAATCCAGTCTCACTTATACTTTCGAGTAACCAAATGTTCTAAAGCGCAGCAAAGTATGTCAGCCAGTCATGTTTTTCCAATTCATCTTGCCTTTGTCACTTCGATATCTGACCATCTAGAACTTTATTTAAAACGCACACGAGACGTCAGGTACAAAACGCAATCTCTGAACTTTGTATAATTCTTTCTATAAATTGGTTTCATATCCTCTTGGTCCTCTCTTTCAACTCATCAATCTCCCCACCTTCCACTCAGACTTCTTCCCATTATTTCATCAGTCCAATACGCATCAAAATGTACTTTGGCAGAAGAGATCCCACGCGGAAGTCCTATCAACAGATAGAGCCTAGCTACGCCAACCCTCCACGCTCGCGCACGCCAAGTATCAGCTCGTACACGTCAGAAGAGAAGCTTCGACAAGACCGTATTATCCACAATCACGGCTGGACCAATAAAGGCTTGTCTGAAAAGCAGCAGAGAGCCATGGCGCAAACATTCAGTGATGAGATTCAGAAGGCCAAGGATCGTGGAGAGTGGTAAAGCAGCATAAAGTACGAGGCAGTTAATGTTGACTTGGTAGGCCTTCGCAGACCTATAATTAATCCTCGTGTTTAAGGTGGTTACTATCTTGGGGGGAAATGGATGACTTCATCTGGTGTGAAGACAGTCGTGGGATGATAATGGCTTATGAGGATTTCGTCTCTCAAACTGGGCTCTCGAGAAGACAGCTGTGTTGGATTTGTTTGGCATGGTCGCTGCAAGCTTCTCACAAGAGGCTTTTGAACGTATCAGAAGAGACAAGACCCTCTCATGACTATCTTGGTGTTTTTGGTTCCGGGAACACGGATCGGCCTTGCCACGACAGTATTCTTATCTGACCAAGGACTTGGTGTTTTGGTGGATGACTGGGATAGTAATTTATGGAGAGACCTCATGGCGATTGCTTACAAGGTTCTTTCCCTTCTTTGATAAATGCACTGCTCGGGGAATGTTTCTTAGGAATGGTACCAAAGCTTTTTGAGGATGTTCATCTGGGGCCTTACCCGACCTTGATTTTCAGCTACTTGTAATGAAAATTTATTTAGGACTTTACCTTTATCGTGGTCAATACCGGTTTCTGGTAGCTTTTTCTCACATATCTGAAATAATGTAAGGCGTGTCGCAGAGCACTGTACGACAAAGATAAATGGATGCCGCACGTGCGGGTACCGTAAGATATCAATATGATGCTTATTCATGCCGAGGTCTAACCAGAACAAGCAAATGGTCCCCCCTGCTTATGGCTCGACGATTACCTGAGCATCGCTGACCAATTTGATATGCAATGAAACACCAAGAAATGCATTTAGTAAAGTCGAGATGCAGTATTGGTAATGAGCGAGGTTATATAAGTAAGGTCTTTTCCCCCAGTAGCTTTGACCATCAATACCATCATTCCACATTCTAACATCATATCATTCAATCCTACACTATCAATTCATCATCATCATGTCTTCTCCCATTGTTCTCATCTTTGGCGCTGGTGCCAAGGTTGGCAAAAGTGTCGCCCAAGCCTTCAGCGCAAAGGGCTATAGACTAGCTCTAGCCTCCCGATCTCAAGATCCATCAACTTCCACAGACCGAAAGCTCCATATCCCTGCAAATTTGAGCAACACAGACTCCGTCATCCAGGCCTTTACAAAGGTCAGAAGCGAGTTTGGCCATCCCCACGTCGTCATTTACAACGGTCAGTGAATCGCATTCTTACTAAAGCTTTATCTAATTGATTGGCAGCTTATCATGGCGCACCTAACGATCCCAACGATATTTTCCAAGTTTCTTTGGACAGCTTCAAGACAAGCGGTGCAGTCAACATCTTTAGCGCTTACGCCGCAGCCCAGGAAGCTGTCAATGGTTGGAAAGACTTCCCTAAAAATAGTAGCCCAACGTACATTTACACTGGCAACATTGAGAATGAGATGCGCATTCCGTCCATCATGTCGCTAGGTGTTGGAAAGGCTGCGGCTGCTTGGTTCATTGAGGTTGCTGCTACTGCATACAAGGATCAACGCTTTAGGTGAGTTTACTAGTGAGACTGCCACGAGAAATAATGCTGATTGATACTAGGTTCTACTATGCTGATGAGAGAAAGGAGGATGGCACACCTATGTATAAGGGAGCAACTGCGGAAGGTCATGCTCAATTCTATGTTGAGCTTGCTGAGGGCAAGGAGCAGCGGGTTTGGCAGCAGACTTTTGTCTCTGGGCAGGGCTACAAGAAGTTCTAATCGGCCATGATTTCACATGACTAGTTATACGGTATTATGTCTCTGTCAATTTGGTCGAACGCCCACAATGCTTAGGTGCTTGTAATACAATCACAGAGGATAGTTCTCGTTCAACGAAGTGTATTTATAGTAAAGAGATATATGCGTTGAAAGTGCAGAACTGGTAGCTTTCCCAACCTCAACAAGAGGTGCTTCAAGCACCTTATTAACCCCTTATCCAACATCCATCCATCCTCCACGGTATTACTGCCTCAGTGTAAAGTTCGAGGCCTCAAAGCCAAAGCACTTAGCAAGACTTGACGGAAGAGTACTTGCAAGCCTTGCCGGGACCAGAGCCAATCTTCTTGGGCTCCTTGCCGGGAACGGTACCCTCGTACTCGACGCAGATCTCCTTGACGGAAGAAGCGCAAGTTCCGGTGATGGTGGAGATATCGCCCTTGTTGGAGTTGATGCCAGTGAGGACCTTTCCGTTGAAGGCCTTGACGTTCTTGACGACAACGTTGCGGGTGCCCATCTTCTTGCAGTTACCGCAAGATCGGTAGAGCTTACCGAAGTCAACAACAGTGAAACCATCGATGGTGACCGTTCCGAGACCGTTATGCTGGATGACCTTGTCCTCAGCACCGGTAGCACCACCGCCCTTGATGAGAGCGTTACCGTCACCCTTGAGGGAGAGAGCATCTTCGCAGACCTTCTTCCACCAGACGTTCTCGATGGTGCAAGAGCCCTCGCAGTGAACACCCTCGATCTGATCAGCGCCAATGATGACGTTCTTGAGGGTAGCGCCGTTCTTGAGGATGAAGACGGCGTCGGCGTCGGTGCCCTCAACCTGGCCAGTGCACTTGACGCCACGGCCGTAGGTCTTCATGCCACCGTCGAAGGTGCCGGAGATGGTCTGGGCCTTCTTGTAGGTGACGGATCCCTTGGAGGCGGGGATAGGGAAGGAAGCGCGTCGCTCGAGGGCGCCCATAGTGTTGGGGGTGATGTTGCCCTGGGGGGAGGCCATGGTGGCGGAGGCGAAGAGGCCGGCGAAGACGATGGAGAACTTCATTTTGATGGATTGGTTTGTTGGTTGTTAAAAAGAGGGTTGAGATTTCTTGTGAGATTGTAAAAGAGAGGATAACCACCAGGGCTAAAGAGTGTAGAAAGTTAGATTGTAAAGAGAGACTATTGAACTGCAGAACGAAAGACATAAACTTGAAGGGAGGATCTGAAGTCTTTATAGCAGAATGTCACGAGAGGAATGCTCAAGATGTCCCTTGTAAGCTTTCATGTTTCAGATCTCATCCGCGGGTGTCGTTGGCAGTAGATGTCCTCTGGTTGGAGGAATATTATTCGCACAATGAGAGCATGTCACCCATCGACCTAATCTAGAACGTGTCACCCTGCAACCCGTCTACCTGTTTCTCGGATGGAGCCGCAGAGAGAAGAACATGCGAGCAAGGGCCACATATAGTAAATCTCCAGTTCTTTGTATCAGTCAACGCGTATTCGGTGCGCGGACAGTAGTTGTTTTGCATCGACATCCATACGAGAATCCAACCCATACTAAATCGAGACATCAGATCGCGATAAGAGCAAAAGTTAGTCGCGGTAAACCCAAACAGTGACATCGTCCGATGGACAGGGCTGAAAAGAGGAACATAAGCTAACCCCTCCGGAAATTAGAGTGGAATCATGACAGGTGGATTTTCTCGATGGCTAGCCCGAGAGTGGTCAAGATACGATACACCAATTTTAGGCTGCCCCTGTTGCAACTTATGTCTAAATTCACCCTTAATTTTTAATTTTTAATGCTTAAAAACAAGCTTCATTGGCAGTGACAGACAATAGTGGCTCTTGTTTGTGAAGCGTGCTAAGATACACCATAACTGAAACGCAGACATCGTATTCAGCTAGCTGTCTGTGCACGTACTGCATATTAAGGGGCCTGCCAGAATAAGTCACGGCGAACCTGCTCCAGAGGCTACAAAGGGAAACCTGAAGCACTCGGGTTGTTTGTTCATCCCGAGTTCCGATATCCCTGGGTATAATAGCCAGTTGTTTGGTGATGACTCCATACTTAACTGTGGATTCTGTGGTGAGAGCCCATATTTCGGCCCTTCGATTTACGATGGCATGTCACTGTTTTATCTCCACAGAATATGATGAAATTCCAAGGTTTTCCATTGCCAACGGAATTGAAAAGTGGTGCTGCGCGGGTCGAGAATACATAATAGCTGGGGTCTGAAGCCTTTTATAATTTGTTCAAAAATAGTGATTACCCTAGAGCAAGCCAGGACAGGCGAAATTTTCTACGCTGTACCCGAGAAGTCTTATGAAGTCTTATGAAGAATAGCTAGTATGGAGACTTAATGCTCATAATTAATTATTTTGTAAGTTTTGATAGATAACTTTGTACTGGGAGAAGGTCACTTATTTCTTCACCAAAAATTACTTTTTAAGATCAAATGCACAGGACTTCTCTTTCTACATGAGGGTTCACATTCTCGTTCACAACTGCTCCGGCACCCATCTTTCCTGAGATTGGTCACATTAATCGAAACCAATAATATATCCACACTGCTGGCCTGTTCGCAGAGGCGAAATACAAGCAAACAAGCTTTACGGCACAGCGATTAGGGGCAGCGATTGAATCCCAGGACCCAAAGGATCCAATGCTGTGCCCCTCCCATACGACCTCATCTAATCAATCTGCGCCCCTCATTCAAATTGGAGGCCTGTTCCTGTCTTGCCGGCGCGATGTGGTGGACCCGTAGAACCAAAGAATGGTGGGCAAATTAGCCCCCAAGCTTGAAACACGCCATAACATCAGCCCTTGTCCACGCTGACTGGACTTGGCTAGCCATCCGTATCCGTACGGAACTCACCGTCTTATGTCCGCTTCAATCGATAGATGGTTTACGAGTGTAACCTTGTTCTGAGACATGGATCTACAGGGAGTCGGGTGTTTGGCTCGCTGTTCTCGGCGTGGATCGAGGTGAGGTCGCAGGAGAAGTGGATGTTAGGCGAAAGTGTCGATGTTTGCATGCCTTACTTGCTTGCCATTCTCAAGATGAATATGACGAGTTTCACAAATGCGTAACAAGGTACTAAAGTTGAACAAAATGACAATCCTGCCTCGTTCACTGTTTGAATCTTTATCTCTTAGTTCTGAAACTGCAATGCAACATGTTTGCCGTATCGCGGGACGTCCGCAAAGGAGGGTGACAGAGCCCCCAAAGATGGCATATTGATTCAGGGGATCAAACATTCTTATTCGTGGACTATAGGACTGCCGGAACATCAGGCATACTAGGTATTTATAAATTATTCATGCGAGGAAAAAGTTCTCAGGGGACACAGTCAAACATGATCAATAATCACTACCTCGGAAGTCGGGGGATTTCCAGGCTACTAACTAATCTCTCCTTAGAGTCTTCCGATAAGCCGGAGGAAGAATCCCCTCCAAAGTAGCCTTGATCTGCAAAGCCAACGTCCGCGAGTGCCATCGATGCTGCTGCGTATAACCCCCCATGACCCAGTAATTCTCCAGTCTCAGGTGTCTCTTCCACATTCCTCGTATTTCGCCCTCAGCGCCAATGCCCCATGTTGCGTCGAGACGATCAGCAATCTCGCGCGGTCCAAGGACCTTTTCATCGCTCGCATTGCGTCTTTCACCTCTTTCACCTCCCAGGACCTCAGCGGCTACAGACCGAACGTCACAATCTGCAAATCCGGTACACCAAATCACGGCATCGGCGACGGCAGAGCTTCCATCTGAGAACTGGAGACCATCCTTGGTAAACGCGATTGGTTCGACTCCTGCCTTGACACTGGCGTTGCCTCGTGCTAAAATGTCTGTTCCGCCAACATCAACGTAGTGCCCACCAGCTCTCTCGATCAAATTAGAGAAGAGAGCTTGCTCAGGGTCTGCACTGTCGAGCACCGGAAATCCAGCTTTTCTAAGAGCGGTATAGCGTTCTGGCTCCTTGGACGCGAGCCCTCTGAAGAGATTTCGCGCAAGTTGACCTTCCACCACGGATGGAAGCATGAGAAACATTCTGTCGCCGCGTGCGACGTCAAAGTTGTACGCGCCTAGACTGACGTCGTTGCAGATATACTCGAATGGGCAGATGTAAGTTGGCGATCGCACGACCATCGTTGACTCGAGACCGGCGGCATAGCAGTCGCCGAGGATGTCGAAGGCCGTGTTTGCTGATCCTATGACGAGAACCGACTGTATATGTTAGACTGTGTGACGATACTGAAGCTTGTCCACTAACCTTGACGCCTTGCTCGGCTAGTGCTCTTCCATTTTTGTAGTCCGACGAGTGGATGTTGATTCCTTTGTAGACCTCTGCATTTTCAACAGTAGGAACATACGGCTTTTGCGAGGAAACTCTGGTTGCTTGGACTAGGTGCTTAGCAGTCACTTTAACCGCTCTAACAGGAGTTTGTAGTTCAATCGTCCATTTCGCACTTGACTTGTTGTAAACCGTCAACTGAATTGTTGCCGAAGTAATGACGTTGAGGTTGAATGACGCGACATATTGTGCCAGGTGATTGGCCAGTTCATCCTTGCTCAGACGGTGAAGGCCTCGGAGCTCTTCTGGGTAGCCTGCACGTGTTAGTTAGCTGAGCCTCCGTCTCCAGAGGCGCTCGGTTTAGCTCACTCATGTAAGGCATGTCGCAGAATGAAGTCGGCACGTGAAACTTCATGCAGTCGTAGCGCTTGGCCCAGTTATCGCCGACATGGGCATTTCGTTCAGCCATGATGCTATCGACGCCAAAGGTCTTGAGCCGAGCGGCGAGTGCTGCCGCGCTACAGCGTCGTTAGTCAACGCAGAAGCAGGGACTGGGATAATGGACTAACGCGTTGCCGCCGCCAATAATGAAGACATCAGTGTCAATCTCTGCTATGCCATTTCGATTGCGACCAGTTAAGTGGAGCAAGGATTTATTTTCTGGATGAATATCAAGGTTCTCAAGTTTGGTGCTCAGAATCCAGATTTTCCATTCAAGCTTATCCTCGCTGCTCTCAACCGGGAGTAGTACGATTCGAGCACTACATGAAGCCGCGGGCGATACAGTTCTGAAGGACAACGCGACGTCAATGAATTGCTAGAGTAAGATAAGCGAACATCAGTCTCCCAACAAGTAATGATGTCAATCGGAGCGAACGTACCAGTACAGGTGTCGCAGCGACAAACACCGCGTTCTCCATGTTCCATCGCATCGAAGGACCTCTCATCTTGTTAGTTTCCAACAAATTGGCAGCAATGACCGAAGGAGTATAAAAGGTCCGCAAATGATAGGTAAACGCCAATGCATCTTTCCAGTAAGCTTGATCAGCGAAGAAGCAGTCTTGAAGAGCTTGGATATTATTGTCTCTCAAGGCGTCGTGGAAGGACTCGACAACGGCCGCGGCTTGGTGTGATGGATCAATGTCTTTGAAAGATATTCTTTCGACGATTTTCGGTGAAAGAACAGGGACAGGTCGTTCATCGAAGAGCTGGAGCAGACTTGCGGCGGGGGGATAGGGCTCGGAAATCCCATTGTCTGCCATGGTTGTTAGAGGTAGAGCAACTCTAGTTGGATAATATTCTTACCGGCTTCCATTGCGAGATGATACTGTAGGTTACAGTTTAATAAAGTTGCGATAGACGAATATGAAATGCGGGGATAGAGGATAGGTCAATAAGGATGAGCTGGCCTGGTCGAGAGTAAAAGTGGACGATTATACGGCATGGCCAGAGACGATGTAACGACAGGCGACCTTTTATTCAGCAGTACCCATTCCAATGCATGTTTGTTCTCAATCCCCACCAACCAACACCTTTATTGCATCTTGCAGCAAACCGGTGACGCGTCTCCCATCCGGGGTCCGAAGCCCGGAGCCAACAGACGAAGTTATCGAATCGCGATAGGGCTGGAGATGTCAATGCTGTTGGTTACCAACGGCTGGTGTAACCCTGGCGTAAATGCCACCAACAAAAGGCCCCGCGAGGTGCTAATCAGCTAATTCGAGGCTGGTTCAAGACCTGCCATTTTTGCAACCGGTCTGAGCCTAGCCTATCGCATGAAGCCTTATTTGCAACGAGAATAATGTCACTTGTGCCGTCAAATCTTGCCCCGATAGCATGGCTTGCAAAAAGAATTGCTATTGGAAAAGGTGATAAGAATATTAGAGCCTGATATACCCTGCATGAGCGCCCGATGAAGCGTGTTGCAGTACTGGCTATTGGTGTATATGTATGCATGTTCACGGCTCTATCGCAGACACCACTCACGTGCTTGTCGTGGCACTGCATATGTAGCTTACAGCTTGATGTGTGCTGATTTAGTCCCGCGTCGCAACTACTTTTTGGTGTGACGGATCTCCCCATTTCAGGTGGCGGAGATAAGGGAATGCCCATTCATATTTGGTGCTTCGCAATGATGATGCTTTACTTGGCTGGGATATTAGATGTACTCTGAAACTACGAGTATTACCCTCATAACTGATCAAGCTTGCCTCTTCATCAAATTTGCGACCCTGAGCGAGACTTGAACTACAATGGCCTTGATGATGGGTACGCGAACATGAGTCTAACCGAGCCATCATCCCAGGATAATTTTGGGAATTCTCTAAAGTCTGATTCCCTTTTGCAGTAACTATTGGTGAAATACTATTGACTCGGTACTAATATGCTTGCAGCCAACTAGGGACATCTGGAACTGTATCAGGCAGTGCATATGAGTTCTCATCAACGAAGTCTAATATCTTGGCTTTCAACTCCTTATGTCTTTCTCCCATATCTCCCTCACGAGCCAAGACAACAAAGTCCATGATGGTCTTGCAGCCCTCCCAGATCCTTGCCCTGTTTCTTATACCTGGCAACGGGCTCGTCGCAGGGTTTAACAGGAACCATACTCGCCTCCAATTCATATCCCGTCGCTCGCCTTTGCCATGTATCCAAACTTCAACATTTTTGCGAAAGCTGTGCCAATCCTGCAGTAAAACCTTCAACTTTTCATGATAAGGTGCTATGATCTCCTCGCGGCGCTGACGGTTGACAGCCTTGGTCGCCTTGCAAACTTGCTGCATCTCAGGGAATTCAAAGAGAATAGGTTCCCATCGATCCTCTTCCTCCTCTTCAGACTCTAATCCGATGGGGAGTGTTGGTGGTGGAATACCCAGAGGGCAGAGAGGATCCCATGTCGGCAGGCAATCACGAGACGCGGGATATTCATTATTCTCGAGAACCTCCCACAGCCACGGCATGTCTCTAACTATGGTTTCCCTGAATGATGGCTGCGCAAGCATGAACATCGCCCTGCAAGCCTTGGCCGTGCTTTCAACGTCTGATATGACAAGAAATGACAGAATATGATGGATGATCTCGGCAGGCAGGGCCAACAACCCCGTAGGCTGCTGTTCATATCCCTTCAAGCACAACTCTTTCATGCACGACTCCAAAACTCGGGAAATACCAGGGATCTCGACAGGATTTGCAACAAGCCACTCATCGCCAGGTATATGGAGCCAAGGGTAATCCCACTGCGTGCGGGCTCGCCGCAGTTCTGGCAAGTGTATCTGTTTCCGTATCGGTTCCGGAATACGATCTTCAAGGCCGTATGAAGCTGGCATATTCCGCATCTCACGCCAGTGCCACAGTCCATTCAAGTCAACGTGCCCTAGACGACGGAGTGAGGCCTTGGCATAGATATCCAGACAATATGAATGCACCGGGAGTGGAACCAGCGAGTAATCAAGCTCCTGGCATACCTGTTAGTACCTATTATTATCGAAGCCCATCAAATAAACTTACCATGCAACCTTCGTCCACATACACCCAGCTGGTACTTATATCCTTCAACCCATGTCGCGGTGGATAAAGTGAGTGAATACCTCTGAAACGTCTGCCCTCGATCATATTTGAACCGCTTGACTCTCCAGATACATAGAATAGATTATCACTGCTTCCGTCAAAAAGTTGATCGCTTAAATCAGCTTTCCACATCGACGGCTTGGGGACGAGAAATCGGACATTTCGACAGTTCTTCATTTGTGCGACGCTGAGAACATGGCCGTTGATACCTTGCAGACTTTGGCATGAAAGTGAGGCGATGTGCTCTAAGGGGACGTTTGAATCGTCCAGACTAAGTAGAGACCATTTCTCAGGATGTTGTCGATCGCCTGTGTAGTAGGCAAGACCGTTGCGCCATGTGCCATGTGGCAAGCGATCAGGAAATTCGCAGGTATAGAGATCCGTAAGAGGGTACCGGTCGGGTACATCATTCGAGTAGTCGCTGTCCTCCTCATCAGATGTAGATGGAACTTCAGCCTCTATATCTTCACTATCAGTCTCCCATTCACAATCATACTCCAGAGGCTCTTCATCGCTGGAACTCTGTGCATCTGGCGCCCAATCTGGGTCATCTTCATCGTCCTGATCCGGCCATGCGTCAACTTCTGGAGGTCTAGCTGGACCCCGGTCTTCTGTTGCGCATTGTAGGCTATCGTTGTCCTCAAATTGATCTTGATGCGGCCATTTACGGAAGCCGACGTAGTCAGCACCCTCCAAGTTCCAAGCTGCGCTAGGCGGCTCATCTGGAGTGCGGATGCGGGCGATGGCCATGTCGACACCGCAGATTTGACAGCTGAAGGAGTACATGATACAGTGAAATAGTGAACGTGAACTGGTCAAGGGCAAGATTAGGAGGTGCTGGTACTATTGGGCTGTAGATAGTGATATTGGGATTTGATGGTGTAAAATTTGGGGGTTTCAGACGAGCGAGATCGGTGGGTTAGTGACCTGGCAGCATGGACCTAGACTTAAATAAGTTAACTTGTTTGTTCATGATCCCTGTCCTTGTTATAGCAAGTTAACCTGTACTAAGTTGCGGTACGAGGAGGAATAGAGTAAGACGCGTTGGCCAAGTAGTATTATACAATGCAGGTTTAGAGAAATCAGTTTCATAGTTCGATTTACCGCGGTACCAAAAGATTTCGTAAATGTAGCCGCATAAATTAAGCTACCTATCATATATCGCCAGATTGGATCAAAGAGCAATTACTTCCAAGTAAGTAAAGCTTGACGGGCAAAATAACTCAGGGCTTTCTAGCTGTAAGTACAACATAAAGTTGAGGCGCATTCAGCGTGAAATGGTCTCTGAGACCCTCAAGAAACGCCGACTTGCTGGCAGTTTCCGCGCCAGAAAGGCAGACATCAAAGCGATGCAATATCATACACGTAGCATAGCCAACTTCCATGAGGCCCAACTGTTTACCCACGCATGCATAGCGACCTGAACGATGCGATTAGCCTTGGAAACTCAAGAAATACTGTTACAGAGGCGGTCACGACTTACCAATTGAGAATAGCGCAAATATCGAACCGTCCCTTACCATGTCTGGTTTTGTGGTCTAGCGCTCTGGGACGAAATCATCCGGAGCGGTGAAGTACCGTTCATCTTTAGGCCAGGTTAGATTTAGACAGTAGATGGAACGGCAATTTGCTGCTTTCACGCTGCATACCTCTATATAGTGTGTATGATGGAACAGTCACAACAGTATCTCCAGGAATGAATGTGTCACCGACTTGCAGCCCTTCTGCGGGTGTCATACGCTGCAATCCAGATGGAACTGGAGGAAAGAGTCGAAGTGTCTCATCAATACAAGCTTGAAGGTATGTCAAGTTGGAAAAGCTCGAGTGATTTGGTTCTGAAGAGCTGGAAAACAAGTCGTCGATCTCCTCTTGAAGCCGAAAGAATACATTTTTGTTGGTAGCTAATAAGAAGAACAGACAAGTAAGTGTTGCAGAAGTGGTGTCACTGGATACAAGATTAGCCGACAGCCTCTGTCACGTAAAGGACGTAGCTTCACCTTCCAGCAACGGCTATAAGCTGCATATTAGCTTGTAAGTTTAGCCAATTTTGCTCTTTGGGATACAGCTGGGATTTATAATCCTCAAGGAGCCACGAGAAGATATTCGGAAGGTCCGGTTTGTTCTGTATTATACACCAGCCTTCGCCCGGAGGGCTAAACATTGTGATGATATACCTTTTCTTGATACCGAACTTGAGTCTCAAGCCATTTCTGGAAGATAGCATCTTCCCTACCAAGGAACGGCATCACCCTGAACAGGGGAAACATCCAGATCAGTTGGCTGAAGGTCCCGGCCATCACCATATGCGACTCAACCAGTGCCATGAATGGATGCTTGGCGCCGTCTGTAAGCATGTTGAAGCTCTGACCAAAAGCCAGGTCACCCATGGTATCGAAGCTGTAAAACTTGAACCACTTTGCAATGTCAATAGGAATGTCTTGGCTCTGGTCAAGTCGATCGAGTAGCTGACTGGTATATTTCACCACTCGGGGCTCATAATCACGGAGAGCTATATGGACAAGTTAGCCTTCGTAAGCTTGATGGTGGCTTTTCGGAAATCACCCTTTGAGCTAAACGCCCTGTCCCAGGCTCGTCGCCTACCAGAATGATCGTTCTTGTCTCGTGACATATGAAGAGAGATGGCCGGCTGTTCGATGTTATACCAAAGTCCCTTGTTGCAAAGCGAATTGTTGGAGTGTATTGCATGGAAGACCTTAGCATCGAGGATGGATAGTTCTGAGGGTCCTATACAGCTTTAGCTTAGCTCCATTAGTATATGTAGAGGATGTTGCCACTTACCGACACGCACAATATCACCATATCTTCTATGAAGGTCTTGAATCTCTCTGTAAAGCTGAAAGCTAGCAACGGAACGCTTGGTGAGATACAAGTTGGAGACTCTGGCCATGAAAGGACCTGGGAACTTGTACAAGCGGTGGAAGAAGCTGATGCGGTAAATGAAAATGCTGCAAAAGGTCCCTGAAATGAGAAACGACACCATGTACATGGATGCTATGACGGACTCCAAGAAGCTGTACGGTGTCCCAGCCTCTGTAGATCCCAGCCTCTTGAAGCTCAGTGCCAGGAGACCAAGGACCATGAGGAGTCCTTGCAGTATCTTGATGGTAAAGAGATCCCATTCCCCCTTTCGAAATATTAGAACGTGGGCAAGTATTCCGGATAATAACCCGGTTCCGATGGCAAGTGAAGTCGGGTACATTGTCGAAGCCGTATTACAGATTGAAAGCGATGTTGAGAGGACTTGGGGCAACACTAATGGGGAAGTTATAAAAGACTTATTGACATCTGGAATCACAGGATTCCGGTGGAAATGAGCAATGACTGTGCGGCCAAACAATCCCTTTTGGTGGGCTTCTTCGATAACTCGAAAGCACGGGCAGGAAGAGCTGCAACTTAGCAGATATGGAAGACATCGATAAAAGATGACAGACTTGAGCACACTGGCCCCACGTCTAGAGTATTACAACTCAACTCGGCTGATTCGCTGCCCTAAGGAACAAGTCGGGAGCTATTTGATGTGATGGCATGGACTGGACTAGATCTACCTTGTGTAAGCGAAGAACGAGCTGGTGGAAAAAAGCAGCAGGGATGAAAATCAAGATATGTGCAGGATTCTATCCCATATAGCATGTTACCAAGGAACTTCGGCATTTTAGCTTCGTCTTTCCAAGGTGACCTGCCTTAATCGTCGTTGATACTCTCGGTAGCTTGAGCATCAGTTCATGCTTTGCAATCTGTCTATTTCATGGCTTCGCTTCCATGTCAGAGAATATGCTGTCCAGATATAAGGGGTATAGATAGCTATGGGGTGGACTGCCGCCAATAAAGTTAAGCTTTAGGCTGCGAACGTAGGTGATGAATCAAAACACGATATTCTTTTCTCCCGATATAAGCTTTTACGCAGAAGGTTTCACGAAGGGGTATAGATAGTGAAAAACAGAAAACAATACTCGAACTTAACCAACACACCTGTTTTTCGGTCTCGGAGGAACACGACCTCAACGACCTCCGCTCGCGTCTGTAACAGCATACTAATAGCGGTAGTTGACCACGGAACATCATTCCGACCGATATAACGGCACTGATATGAATTGCTATCAAGACCCCTGTCCATCTTTCTCTGATCGGCGTCGTCAAATCTTAGTCGCCAATACCCTTGTTAGCCGGCTTATGAAGCCGTGACAAACTGTCCCTATTCGATATCATGCATATGATAGCTTGCGGAAGTACTCCGTACTTATCATGGAACGCTGTCATGAGAAGAATATGCATATTACCTACCGCATTTGGACGGGAGCGAGACTATCGGCGCGATCTCGTTTATGAGTCTTTTTACTTTTGCCAGAAATGCGTAATTGACCAAACTGGATGTAGGCTATTTAAACGCTTGATTTGCTTCTTTCATGGCTTGCTTATCAATTCACCTCCTTTTTTCATCTCAGTCTTTCTAGTTTCACAGCTATGCAATCCAATCAAAAGCTCTGCATTGCTATCTTTGGCCCTACTGCCTCCGGGAAGACCAAACTGGGTGGTTGCCATCGCGAACGCCTTTTCGAGCGAGGTCATCTCTGTCGATAGTCTACAGTGCTATAAGGCGGGAAGCATTCTCACAGCTAAGCCCACTGCTCAAGAGATAGCTGATATTCCTCATCACCTTATTGATTATCTCGAGGCTGATGAGGAGCCTGGTGAGTTTGTAGCTATGGCTGCTGACAAGATGGACGAAATCACAAACCGAGAGAAACTCCCCATTCTTGTTGGCGGCTCAACGTCTCTCGCAATACCATTGCTGCATGAGGCGTTGAAGCGGCAGTATCGGTTTGTTTCTGCAACGCTGATCCCGCGTCAGTCCACATACTGGCAATTCATCCAAGTTAGAGCCAGCGAAATGCTCGAGAGGGGTCTCCTTGACGAACTTGAGACGCTGAGAGACCTGCAGCAGAGTTTGATGGATGACAACGCGTGCTTCCATAAGGGGGTATGGAAAGCCATTGGGTATCAAGAGTTCTATCCCTATCTCGAGGCAGACTCGCCACGTAACGCCCGGCAGTCGTCATTCCAGAGGGGCCTCGCACTCATGAACGCCAACACCTTGCAGTACGGCTTCCATCAACTCGAGTGGATTCGCTCCGTCCTGAACCCTTTCTTACACCAAGCCGGTGTAGTATGCATGAGCCTCCCTGTCACTAATAAGGCTTCCTGGATGTCCGATATCGAGATACCTGCTATCTCAATGCTCCACGAGCTTTGTTACAATTGACGAATGATCAAAGTTCCCACCAACGGTACATTGAACTCTAACTCCAACTCTCGAGTCGTGGGTCTATTGTAGATCTCCCTTCTCTCCTTCCCGCCGATCTTAAGCTGACTTACGCTAGTGGCGGATCTTCCCCGGGGAACGATCCGGGTCACATCGATGCAGCTAAAAAGCTTGCGTTTGCTCTCCACCAAAATAACTACAGACTCGTCTACGGTGGCGGAACAACTGGGATCATGGGCGCCATCGCCAGCACTCTGGTGCAACTCTCTGGACCAAGTGCCGTCCAAGGCATCATTCCGGTTGCACTCGCAAAGTACGAGGAAAGACTCACCAAGAAAAGGGCCGATCCTTTAAAGTTCGGGAGCAGAACTGTTGTGAAAGACATGCATACATGCAAAAGACTCATGATCGAGGCAGTCATTGGTGGCGCTCCAGGGAGCGGCTTTGTAGCTCTCAGTGGTGGATACGGTACCTTGGAGGAACTCCTTGAGACAGCGACTTGGTACCAGCTTGGTATTCATCGATGCGGCATCTGTGTGTTTGACGTATGCGGGTTTTACAAGGGTTTGATGGACTGGGTTCGTCAAGCTGCACAGGCAGGCTTTATTAGCACAGAGGATGCTACTATACTGCGGGTTGCAACGACGGCTGAGGATGTCATCGGCTGCCTAGGCAGTAATGATCACCGCTTTTCGCGGATGGGGGAGCTGGAATGGGGCTAGTCGCTACCTGATTGAGACAGTTAAACGCTGTAGCATAGTGTTACATTGCATGGCAGCGTTGCGATATATCACTTTCACCTGTCAAACTACGCGTATTACACACCATTCTATTGCTTGATGTATTCGAATGAAGTAAGCCAGTATTCGATGAATAACCTTTACGCCTTTTATATGACGAGGTGATCAAGGATCAAGTGCCGCTTCCAATAGGCGCTCTTCAATTGTCAAACGAGCCAATAACCCTGGCCTGTCGCTGACAAGCCGCATTGAACGCTACTCACATGCGAAGGGCCTCATAGTCGACGGTTCCATCCCCAAGGTGAACCCTGCTATATTCTGTTACTACCTTGATCGATCCGTTATAGCCGTAATGTTCACTGCAGGTTATCAGATGTTTTTGAGTTTATCGGACGTAGGTTCCGTAACCTAAACTTGTTTTACCTTTTTACTGTCCATGGACCTGCTGCTTCTAATGGCCCAAGTTGCATCGAATTACAGATGAATTTGATCGTCAAGGCCATGGTCAACTTGCGAGAAAAAGGCATCGACTCGAATGAGCCCTCACCCGAGGCGGAGAGTAGGTGGACCCAGGATCTTTGTCGGATGTACAGCGACAGCCTTATTGGTCATACAAGATAGTGGTATGATGGGTCTAATAACCCTGGAAAGGGAGTTGAGCCTTTGGTCTTGATGGGGGGGGGGGGGGGGTTTTCTATTGTACCGAAAGATTTGCTACAGTGCTCTTGATAACAACTTCCAAGGTTTCAAAGTTCAGAACAGATAGAATATGAGGCTAAAGTTGAAACTTATCTCTTGTGTTCCACTTTCTACTCAGATTACGACAGAACGCCAGATTGATTGATAAAGATCTTTCTATTGAGAAAAACAATTTACAATTTACGCTTTCCCTTGTCTGTAACCTTGATCAAAGCCAATCCATTACTCAAAACGACCTTGCCACCGGCGACTTGTGTAACAAATCTCACCTCGGACCAACTGTCCTGATTGATCCCCATAACCCACGCATTCGTAACCAGCTTGTCGCCCGGCCTCACAGGACTAGCAAACCTCGCCTGGTACTCTTTGATATTAGCAGGGTCTCCACCACCCAGCTCCTTCAAGAGCGAATGAGCCGTCGAGTTCCACGAATACAGCCCATGCATAATTGTCCCTCCGAAACCCATCTTCTTCCCAGGCTCAGGATCAGCATGTAGCGGATTATAATCGCCATTCAACCTATACAGCAGCGCCAACTCAGCGCTAGTCTGCACTTCAATCGTAGCATCAGGCGCCTTGTCTTTCGGTGGAGGGTAGTTCTCCGTGGCTGGACCCTTGGGGCCGCCCCAGTTGCCCTGACCGATAAAGAAGCCGCTGCTGGTGACTCGGGCGTGCACCTCGCCAGAGTCTACATCGACAAGGTCAGTCTGCGTCTCGAGGACAGTGCCTGGGCGACCCTTGTCGTAGACGCCGATGACCTTCTGACGGGTTTCGAAATTGCGGCCCTCGGAGGTGGTTGGGAGGGGCTTGAGGAATTGGATCTTTCGCTGGCCATCGACAACGCGCGTATAGTCGAGTTTGGGGACACCCGGGATTTGAAAGGCTTTGCTTTCCTTGTAGTAGTCGACTACTTCCTGGGAATCCTTCTTGAAGGCTGTGATGGGTTAATGATTGCGGGGAAAGGCTGGAGTAGCTGGACTTACGAAGGATGACGGGGTACGCAGGGAAGACGGCGAACTTCGGATGAAACTCCTGTGTCTTGTCAGTAAGAGCTCAGTGTTTCTAGGAGGATCGCGACGGACGTAGAGGAAGTGTAGCTCATCGACGGTAGCGCCGATGGTGTTGGCGAAGAGGAGGACGTCGCGTTGCAGCCACGTAACCTTGACGGCCGGGTACTCAAAACCAACACCAGGACCTGACATGATGAGTGATAGAAAATGTGTGTGTGTGTATGTGAAAGGAGAAAGTAAAGAGGAGAAATGGGTTATATACCCCAGATTTAATGGTTAGCCAAGTGAAATCAGCCGAGGTTTGCGGGGTGTGGGGAAGGGAGTTAGTCTTAATCCCCCGACTTGATTGGTGGGGAAGTAAAACAAACCGAGGCTTGCAGGGTAGGGCGGAGGACAGGCATTCTAACTAACAAGGTAGTATAATAAAGATTAAGTAGAGTTGATATCTTCTTTAACCTATAATAGAACGATCTACATATAAAAAAAAGTTCTGCTCTCTTATTCATATAAATCTTATTTATGATAAAAAACATCAAATTATTTGAAGTATATAAGACATTTCTAAGGAGAGCCTCGTGTTTTAATCTGGGCAATCCCAGCACTAGGTCTTTGGCTCATATAGTAAAACAGCGATCTAATGCCGTCTTCCAATTGTTATAAAGTGAAATAACAAGGCAGGGATGCACAACTATTGATAAGCAGATGAGCATAACGTTGGGTCTTAACGGCTGACATATGTGGTGATACGACAATTAGTCATGCATATCTTATCACATCACGTAATCCTCAACTTGGAGTTGTATTTATAGGCAGGCCGAAGAGCTCACTGTTTAACATTGAGATAGTAAAACATGACTACTACGAAAGCTCTCGTTAATATTCGTCCAGGCCACGCCGAGGTTCAGGACATTCCTGTGCCAGCTCTTGAGCCCGGCTACATTAGAGTCAAACCCACCGCATGGGCTATCAACCCAGATGATGCTTACCACCTTGGCCTAGAAGGTGATGAGACTTGCGCTGGTGCTGTCGTTGGGACAGACTATGCCGGTGTTGTCGTAGAGGTTGGGTCCGGAGTTGAGAGGGACTTCAAAGTTGGGGATCGCATCGCTGGTGGTGTCGTCGGACAGTATGCAAAGCCTTCGAGATGTTGGTGTATGGCCAGGACTGACATGTTCTCAAGAATATATTGCGGAAGCATGATGGCGCTTTTGCGCACTTGATTCATGTTAAGGCAGATATTCAGATGAAGATTCCTGATAACATGAGCGACGAAGACGCTGCGACTCAGGGCGTTGCGCTCATCACGATGGTACGATGGTCCCCTCCACAAGTTGTTAGTTCATGCTAATGAGGATTTTGACAGGGCGTTGGTATATACCAGCATCTTTATCTTCCCCTTCCAGATGAACCAGCAAAGGAGCCCTTTCGTGTTTTTATCTACGGTGGCAGTACAGCCATGGGGATCTCGGCAATCCAATTTGCAAAGCTCGCTGGCGCCACAGTTATTACTACTTCGTCACCCGGTAATGCAGATTATGTCAAGTCTTTGGGCGCCGATCATGTCCTCGACTACAAGTCCAAAACTCTTGTCGACGACATCCTCAAAATAACAGGCGGTCCCCTTCTCCACGTCTTCGACACACATCCCAATCCCGCCAGCCTCACAACCTCCGCATTAATCCTCCAAGAGACCCCATCCGCGATCTACATCTCCCTCAACCCCGGACCCGAACACGAAGTCAAACGCCTCAACCCTCACGTCACCGCTGAGTCTATCCTCGCATACTCGGCCACAGGTAATCTGTGGATGTATGAGAATGAGTTTTACGAGGCTGTACCAGCAGACTTTGCATTCCAGAGAAGATTTGTCAAAGTGGCTGAGAAGCTGCTCGAAGAGGGACTAGTCAAGCCGCCGCGTGTTTTCCTGAATAGAGGGGGGAGTGGTTTAGAGGGCGCTTTGAAGGGACTGGCTGATATGAGAGAGGGGAAGGTAAGTGGCGGGAAGCTTGTGTATACGCGAGAATGAGAATTGGTAATCTATGAGTTTTGGGTGTTGATCTCTGATAATAGTGTAGCATTGGTGTAACGTGGATTAACGGATCAGATAGTGAGCATCAATATTAATCGTGGATAGTACATCGGCTAAAAACCCAGTCCCCTCGTAAGGCTCGTTACGGTTTCCAAGTGATGACAATTATAACTACTTTGCACTCATTCTTGAAGTTTCTGGGGAACCAATTCGACAGTATATCCGTCCTAGGAGTTATTATTAGTGTTATCTTATGAACTATACAGCAGTGATACATTGATAAGGATTGATACCTACCGGATCTTTTACGAACGCAATCTGTCCAAATACATGCTGGTAAGCAGGATGAAGATCACCCAGTCCAATTTTCCTTCCAGCTTCCCATTGGCTTAAGGGAATATCTTCTCGACTGGCAGCACCTAAATCTTTAATCACCTCAACACCGTGATTCCTCAAGCGTTCAACGGCGCGGGGGACATCAGGTACAGAGAACCCGATGTGTCCGAGGCCCAGATTCGGTGGTTGGTTTCCAGTACTGTAGTAGCCCTCAGGCTCATTTTCTGACCCGTGTACATGGTACAGCTCAATAAGTCCTGGGGTGTAGGCTAAATGAGCTAGAGTATCACGGGCAAATTTGTCTAGATCTGCCCGGTGCTCGTCCGTTTGAGGGTACCCAAGATAGTAAATCGTAAATGGGCCGGTGTCAATAGTGAAAACTGTTCGCATTCCCATCAGGTCGATATAGAAGTGTAAAGATTGTACAGGATCTCGGATGCGTAACATGACGTGGAACAATTTGTAACCAAGTGTAGGGTCCTTCGACGTTAAGGGCAGATCGGTACCTAGACCGTTAGGCATAAATTCCCCAACTGGCATCTCTGTAGAAAAGCGCGAGGATAACTGAGACATAGACTGAGATGCAAGGAATTTCACTATTTGGTTAGTTATCAGAAAGTTCGTGTATTAATCTCAAAGAGTATTTATACAGAAGGTTAAAGTTTAATATTTGTACGCTGCCGCAGAGGGTTGCGGCGGTCGCTTGCCGCAGTACATTGCCGCTGCAGGGATGTTCTTCTATAGGCTGTGTTCACAGCGGGGAATGATCTATGGATACCTGTATAGGAATGGGTGGCTAAATATTAAACATTGCTAGTGACTAGCCGATGAGCTAAAAGGCCAGTCCTGCCGTTGAGCTTGTTATGCTATTTGAACGATGATAATCGTGAATGGGAGTAGGTGAAGTCGCGACCGTTGTCTCTACTGTCCTCAGGATCCCGCTTTGACTCATACTCATGCGCCCTTGATGTTCTATCTCAATAGAGCTATCGCGGTCCCCAGCCTCGATATGGGTGGTGTTGGTTCCGGGAATTGTTCCATGGACACCTGAATGGGAATGAGTGACGGTGGGCTTGGTTATGGTATTTGTTGGAATGCTTTTTGCATGGTTGGCGCTGGAGTGATGGCAGTAAGTGTTGTCTTTGCCTGTTACACCTGATGACTGGACGATCTTTGTAATGAGTTCGGCCATTTTCATTTCGATTTGTAGTTTTAGGAGATAGCACACTGGGTGGAATGAGAGATAACTGCGGACTGTCAGTCAAGACCTACTGAGAGTCGAGGTACTTACACCAGACTACTTGGCAAAGACATGAGCCCGACCAGCACAACCTAGAGTACGTCAGCTGTTAGAATAAAAGACGGAAATTACACTACTTACATCTAATGAAAGTGATACGAAGATAAGAAACAGATTCATACGATAGAGGGAAATATACTTGGCCAACCCATTCTCAATAAGCCTCGACCGAATGAGGTAGATGAAATATGCATTCAACGCTCCATCAACCAGGGTGAAGATGACTTTCTCACATCTGTCCCAGATATTATTCATCCATATCCATTGGTCGTTGATTTGTAAGCGTGCTGGCATCCAGATGATGAACACGCTGATATTAACTGCCAAGATGATGGCGAATACGATCCATTTTAGACGCGCGGCTCGGCCGGGAACAACCATTAAAAGACCGAGACGATTGAGGATGATCTGAAGAAGGAATTGGATTTGGAGTGCCCAAAACAAAGCTAACGTATGTCAGAAGACACTCTCAGCGATCGAAGATTGGAAACCTATCAACAGAGAAATAGAAGCCAAAGCTATCTTACAATCAGCAAACACTCAAATAATAATAAGATTCATGGCATAAACTCACCTGGGGTCTATATATTACCGCTGAAACCCCCAAGTCAAACATCCAAGGACCATACTGCTGAACCAAACAGCCCAGATCATAGCGACATCAGATGTCACACGTCGCCGCCTCTTCCATGCTCGCCAGCTCTGCTCCGACGCCTTGGCCACTGAGAAGACAGCAACACCGAGAGAAATGCCCCATAATATGCTGGCGGTATTAATGTTGACTTCACCGGGAACTTCACGGACATATCTGTCCGGTATTAAAAAGCCTTGTTGACCCATGTTTGAACATTGACGATGTAAATTGATAGAAGAGAATGGGTGTAAATGAGAACTAAAGGAATGGATGATGGGCTTTTTAAATATTGCATATTGCATTCTCCATTTCCTTGGCCATGGAGATGTACCAAACATATGGCTCTGCACTACTGTATAGATTAAACTCAAATCTGGGGTAAAGCTCAAGAGATCCAGGTCCAAGCAAACAATCTGCGCCAAGATCTGCCACATTACAACGAGGCTTGGATATATACCGCCACTAGAACAACCAGGGGGCGCGCTGTTTTATCTGGTTGGGCTTATTCGGATAAAGGTAATTGACAGATCAGGGACAGAGACGGATCGTGGCGTTGGGGCTATGACTAAGTTTGGGGGTGGCTTCAGGGTTCCCCCAGATCTGCAAAAGGATTGTGATCGACGGCTGAACTTTGATGGTTTTTAACTTATCGAGGTCAGTTTGGGGTGTTACGTATGCTGGCATCAAGGTTGGTCTCTTGTTCAGATTTTGGCGGAATTGCTGAGATGTAAGAGGGAGATTAGTGAGTGACAAACTGCAGATCCAAAAGCTCGATGCCGATGATGTCAATTTTGGCGAGAACAGGGAAGGTTTTATGTCATCTGTTTCAAAATCATTTAATTTGTAATTACGACGTCTGTCCCTTTATGCAGCAGGTTAATTTACATCATGGCTCTAGAGCAAGGCTGGGTGATCATGGATATAGCGCTAAATTATTATAACCAGGATCGATTAGCCCCACTTGTAAGGCCGACTCTCAACATCGTCAGCCAGGCTGACTTCACTCCACTCACCGTAATCACAAAAAATGGCCTCACCAGAAGAAATCGCAGGCAAATGGCTCCTCAGCCTCTGCAGTCGAAAACCTTCTGCAGAAAGAGATCAACTTCTCACCAATCTCGAAAAGATAAAATTCGACGAATTCTTCAGTCTGCACGGAAGATCACCCGTTTTCAAGACGTACCATGTCGAAGCCGTGCGTAGGTGCCTAGCCAAAGAGCTGCGGGTGGACTATCCAATGGCGCGTGCGCTGCTGGAGAAGGACGAGATGGGAGACTTTCTCGTCGGGGAGAGGGATTTGTTGCAGGTTGCGATCAAGAGGGCAAAGATTGACCCGGGGTACTTGGGTGAGGACCCGAAGAAGTCGAATCCTGAGCTATTGGAGATGGTCAAATTGCTCATGGCTCATGGGGCAGCGGTGAATTGCTTTGATGATGAGGGGTACTCACCGCTTGTTTATACCGGTATGCTGGGATATCAGGAGCTCTTTCGCTTCCTAATCGAAGCTGGAGCGGATATTTCGACAGTCCAGCAACGCAGGTCTCCAGAGCAGCTTGCAAAGATACGAAAGGCCGCTCAAGATGGAGAGACTGTGGAAGACGAGCCCAAGCAACAAACCAACCTTCTTCAGATCACGCTCGACGCTTTGATCTCGCCGCAGGAGATCGTCGACATGACGTGGGTTGGTTGGCCTCCTGGTGTGAACTTTGACATACCCTTGTGGGATCTTGATATCGAAGCTACCTGGGGCGGCATCATTATGTATCTCCTCGAAGAGGGGCTTTCATGTCCCAAAGATGATCCGGGATTAGTCATGATGCTTCACATTGCCTGTCACAAGGGAGCGCTGGATGTTGTAAAGAAGCTGCTAGCGTATGGTGCTGCTGCTGATGTCGCTGGCCCGAGAATGGCAGATGGTGGGCAAGGCGAAGGATCGACCTTTGGAACGGCGATGCATGCTGCAGCCGCGGGTCGCAACATCGACATCGCTTTGACTCTTATGGAACATGGCGAAAGTGCCAGCTGTCGTCGACACTGTATTTTCAACCGCGGAGGCACCAACAAGGATATGACGCCCATCGAAGTCGCGATAGCAGCAGACCCTTATGGAAGCGATGAAAACCTTGTAGACTATCTGGAAGCGTTCATGGCACAACCTAGCGATCTTCCAGATTCGGATTACCAAGCTGTACTGAAACATTGCGCGCAGAACAATAAGCTTGATGCAGCCGCAAGGCTCCTTGACAGAGGCATACGACTAGATGAAGTACCAACCTGGGTTTCAAGTGTCGATATGGCAAAGTTGCTAGTTTCTCATGGTATTAAGCTTGACCCAGCGGGCTTGCAGGAGAGAGCGCTGAAAAGAGGACGGTTGAATCTTTTGCGATGGTGTGTTGGTGAATACGGTGCGAAACTACCCGATGATCCCAAGTCTTGGGGAAAGATGGTGACGTGGCTTCTCTCGTCTGGTAATATGTACCTTGAGCAGACGAGGTATCTCATTACCGAGTATCCGGGTCCGCATATCGACATGGTTCTTATTTCAAGTAGACGCCTTCATCGTGAGAATCTCAAAGCAAAGAAGACAAGTTGGCTTCATACCGCTATCACCAAACATAACCTGCCGATTGTCAAGATGTTGTTGGAAGCGGGGGTTAATGTTACGTGTCCTGGTTTGCATGCTGATGCACCTACTTTGATACGGAAAGGTGGTCGAGGGTCGGTCCGTGGTGTTGAAAAGTGGCTGGAGATAGTTGGAATGCTGGAGAAAAAGATCTCTGGCGATGAGGAGTGGACTATGCCTTCGTATGCTGTGGTGAGGAAGCGTATTGCTCAAACTGTCGCGCTTGAGAGACGAGCTTGGGATGAGAAAATTGAGAGTATCGTCAAAAGCAGACAGGAGGTTCCTCACGCAACCCCGCAGGAAGTAAACGACTCTGTGCCATCTTCTCCTTCGATGGTAACTTCTCCAGCAGAGGTGTATAAGCCTCTGAGCAGCAGTAGCTCCTTTCGACTTCTAGAACTACTCCCATCGAGTAATCGGACAGACCCTCTTGTCGGACGCCTGGTGGACAGCGATATCACTTTCCAGCCCGACTACGAAGCTCTCTCCTACGTCTGGGGAGATATGACACCAGTCAGATACATTAACCTCGGCGACCAAGATATGTCAATCACACCAAACCTCCACTCAGCACTTATCCACCTTCGCTCTCCCGACACCGTCCGAACACTCTGGGTCGACGCCCTATGCATCAACCAATCCGTCCACGGCGAACGAAACCAACAAGTCCGCATCATGGGCGACATATATAAGTCAGCGCGTCAAGTCGTAGTATGGCTCGGCGACGCAGCAGATGATTCCCATCTTGTATTCCAACATCTGAACGATGAGAGTATCCCAGACTCATTCCACAGTGGCTCGCCTCCACCACAAGATGAACGCCGTGCTTGGAGCACGCTTGTCAAAAAGACCTTGGTTCTTCCGCACATGGGTGATTCAAGAAATAGCCCTTGCGAAAAGAGCGGTCATGATGTGTGGAGAGGAGGAGACGCTTTAGAGGAACGTGGAGATCAGTTATAAACCTGACTTTTCGGGTGGTGCCAAGGGGCTGTCGACTTCGCGTGGCGGTGAAGGTGATCATCCGATCCAGGGATTCGATCCGGATAGTCATGTTTGGAGTCTGAGGATGCTTGGAGTTGGAAGTGATCCGATGAGTATTTTGAGGTATAGTCGTGTTTGTCAGACTACTGAGATTCGGGACAAGATCTAAGGTATCTTGGGTTTGTTTGAACCCGGGTTCATACCCGTTGACTATGATCAGCCTGTGGAAGATATCTTCCGTCAGTTCACAGAGGCTGTGATCAAACTCACCAAAGATCTTAGTATCCTGGAAAACATCGGTACAAAGCGCAGCTATCCAAACCTGCCATCTTGGGTCCCTGATTTCACGAATATTTCGAGCAACAGTCTCCCTAAGGGTAATTGGTACGCACCGTATCGCAAAGACGCGGAGGAGAATTACGACGTTCGGTGTGCAGATGGAACACAGCTCAGCTTCCCCCGGGAGCTCCTTGGGAGGGAGTATCTTTCGGGCTTGACGTTCTCGAAATATGGCAGTTTGACGATCATGGGAAAGATAGTTGATACGATTCGGGAGATTGGGCCGGAACTTGAGGATGGTGTTGGTCACGCACCGGGGACTGAGGGCTTTGAAAGGGTGATGAAGGAGTGGGAAAGTCTTGCTGTGAAGTTGATACCTGAGTGGAAGCCGGATGAATCATCAGTCAGCAAAGCCTTTGCGACGACACTTACAGCAACTCATGGCTCTGAGCTTTTCAGCATTGGCGTGGGCTTCACACAATGGTATCGACACTGCGGCGCCGGTATTCTCGAACCAGCAGATCCATCAATGTTTCTTCGCGATCACGAGTTCTACCTCTGGTGGTTAAGTGTCGGGAAGGATTCAGAAGAGAAGGACCCTGACACAAGCTCGGAAGAGAAATCAAGCGAAGAACCTGAAGTTATTGGGTATGATCTCAGAGAGTTCTCCAAAAGATTCACCTTTGCGAGCTATGGTCGATGTCTTTTCACTAGTGAGAAGGGGTCCTTGGGACTGGCGAGTCCGAGAGCGAAGGCGGGAGATAGAGGTGTTTATTTTCCTGGTTCGACTGAGCCATTTCTGTTGAGGAAGAGGGAGGCAGGAGGTTGGATGCTGGTGGGTGATTGTTATTTGCATGGGCTTGACTTGGACATGTTGTTTCATGATGCGGAGCATTTGGTTGAGGATTTCGAGATTTACTGAGCAATTACCTCAGCTTGGAGACGCCAGCTTGAAGCAGTAAACATCTTTTGGGACAGGCAGATCTAACGTTGAGTCACTGTCCTGTTCTCGCCAGTCGTGACTTGTTGTTCATGTTTGATGGCCCGAACAGCTACAAAGTCTAGGTGTCCGAATTAAACAAGCAGTCTTTCTTCCATCTTGTTTTTAGTTGTTCAAAGCCAACCATGGTATTCAGGGCTCTCTTCTCTAGTCCAATAGTGGACAAGTACTTGGCGTTGTGCCCGCCAATAGCTCAGTCACTGGCCCTGAGCCCAACGCTGTTTGTGTCCCGGTCACGCGGCTAGTGTGCCACTGGCAAAGGGTTTGATCTATGCTGGTACCAGTAGTTTTCAAAACGACTGCAAGAATCAGAAGGCTTGCTTATCCCATCTCTCAGCTTTTGACCTCATGAAACCCTTTCTTTACTCACCACATTCATCGCACTGATCCCAGAAAGCTCTGACGAGAAGATCTCAATAGTCGAGACTTTCTTGCAACACTCCTTCTATTGACACGGGAACCTACATCATTGACCACCCACTCGTCCCTTCCCAGTCCTCTTCAACGACCTTGAAAACTCATAGTCGTTCTCTCCCAACTCATTCTTCTCACTCCTTCAACGGCGATATCCTAAGCCTCGTGGCAGAACCTTGATATCTATAGTGAGCAGCCCTTCCTTACTCAGTTCCATGCCAGCTAACACTAGCTTACCTCAACGGCCTCAGTTGATATAACATATCCTAAGCCACCTCTATCACCTCGCGTGCTCCTTCTGCACCGCCCACGATCCGGAAAACGGAACCTAGAGACTTTTGCTCCGAGCATCGTACCGTTGCCCAACATGACAGGCACCGGATTTATGGATCTTCCTTCGGAGAACCAGATTAAAATTATCCAGCTGGCGATCCCTCCAATGGTCCTACCAGAGCACCTCACCATGAGCGGAAGTATGACAGTTGGCAATGAGCGCAATGCAACCCACGCTATCATGGCGACATGCCGCAAACTCCGAAGCCTCCTTCTCAAGGCTCGACCTCTTACCGGCCATAACTCCACCGGTCAAGCATTTACCTTTGACGTTGAACGTGATTCGCTTTTGGTCATACGCATGAACATCCCGGCCAACCTCAAAACCCCGCAAATTCCCAACCTTCATGGCGTTCGTCGGCTCGTGACCTTTCACTCTTATACAATTGGGTGGAGTTTATAAACTTTCATGGAGAGAGCATTTCTACGATCACCGCACCCGTGGGCTATCAATGTAAAACAACATAACCCACTTGATACTTCTTACGAGGAGAGCCTACCATTCGAAACAGACTTTCCCATCGCCCAAGAGATAGGATCGCTTCAGGAAATGGTCGTTGTGGTGCAGACCGCTCCTGGATGGTACATCTCCTCGTTCCAGCAATTTGGCCCCCAGCCGGAACATCGGCGAGCTGACCCAGTATTGGGAGACCTCAACCACCCTGTCCATCATACAGGACTCCGTTGGACTAATCCTCAGTTGGATGACGACCTCTATTCGGAAGAGGTCCCAATGATTGGCCTACACGGTTATAGCAAGACTCGCCGTGACTGGCGCAACCCGCGCAGCCAGGAGTATTCCCAAGGCGGTCAATGGGCTGGTTTTCGTGTTTACCTAGAGAGTCAGGAAGTTGAGTTCCGACCACTCACTTGGGATGAAGTTGAACCGATTGTTCACCGGCAGAAGCAGCCGGAGACTGGACGAAAGCTTCTGGGTGACAAGGATCCGGAATTTGTGTCCCGAGTATAGATTATTCGGGACCAGACGAAGGAGCTTCCTGGTGGTGCTTACGGCTGGATCAAGGTTAAGGATTACGACGTGCAGACTGACGAGCCTTGGGTCAAACAACTCGCAACCACCTGGAAGATGGTTCGCGCGACGCTTCATCGCCCTGGTATGGCACCCGCAAATTATGATATCGGTCTCAATTGATCTTCCGGGATGTCTTTGGGTGTGACTGTGAATCAGACATTATGTCGAGTGTCGTAATTGCAGGGAAAACGCAGCATGGCTTGGACCGCGCAGATGAGAACTGTGAGAGTTACAAAGACTTTGGCGTCGATGGAAAGGACCAGCGAATATCTACACGGTATTTAACACAAAGAGAGACTTTTGCCCTTCAACACTGATAATACATTCCTTCTTTGGATTGTGGTCACTCTTTGAGGTGGCTCACAGAATATGGCGCGAGTAGGAACCATACTGGATAAAGAAGATTGGTCGGAAGTGTTAGTTGTATGGAATCAGAGAATGGCGAGACTTGAGATAGGAAGAAGACGGGAGCAAAGAAGAAAGATAGGCATTTATCCAGACTATAGTATTGATAGTAATGCCTAACCTTATGTCAACTCCCGTGAAGATATTGCTTTTGAGACACTCAGATCTTGGCCTGTAGATGAATACCTAAAGTCTTTAAGCAGAGTTGGAGATACATGTCACTGCCTAGTAACTCTTATTCTCTGGAAGGAGTCGCGATCAGAGAAGTAGCCCAGCACATACAGCGTCTTAATAATGTAGTGCACAACAGGTCACCACTTCATATCAAGATATGGAGCGAGGTGAAGACAGAATAGGAGAGGCTGGCGAGAGAATTAGCACCTAAAAGATGTTGAGATTCCGAGGAGGGTGTAATTGAAATAGCACATTATCGCATGTCATCGGGCATCTACGTAGGTCATGATAATTGAAAACTTGTACTCATGGCAATTAAATAGTAACCAGGGAGAGTTGATTATGAGAGAATGAGTATGTAAACAAACAGCCACTACCAGAATGCAATAAACTTGGTCTCAATACTCTCTCTCACTTCTTCCTTCTCAGTTCCTGGCAGATGAAACGAACAGTGGTGAACCCCTCCCGCTATGTCACTCCCGTCCTTCTCACTTTCAGTATCCATTATCTTCATGAGAAGAACCTCGTCTGGAGTCTGGTCGCTGATCCAGTACCACTTGTGCTTTGGATTAGCCTTGGTCAGCAGTACATCCGACTCAAATGTCCCATGCACCCCTGGCGGGTTTCGCCAGAAGCTCACGCCGTCTTCGTCATCAGCTGTCCAGTAGTCAACATAGGCCATTGGATCCCGCTTGACAGGCTTCAGTGGACGCCAAGTAGTATACAGGGCCCATCGTCTGCCTTGGTAGTTCTTTGCTCTACCACCTGGCAGCTCAACAGCCTCGTCGCCAGCCTTGATGATATCAGAGGCCTCGTAGATGAGCTCTTGGCTCCAGTTTCGAAGAGTGTTCCACGCGCCGGATGGACCCCAGTCCTTATGAGGCTTTCGCACTGGGCCTTCCTCTTCGCCTTTTTGGAAGCCTTTGGCCCTTGTTGTAGGGAGCTCATGCTGGGCTTGAACAGCTGGGCCAGTCTGCTCCACATTGGGGCCGCTGCTTGGCTTTGAAGGCATGGGGTAGGGAGGGGCGAGCTCTGGCTCCTTGAACGGAACGTTCCGAGACGAAGCAAGCAGGATCATGACTTTCTTTGCCCCAGTGATAGACTTTGCCAGTTCAATGATCTCAGGATCATACACCTCGCTGCGAACAACTGGATCTGTCCACGACGAGTGATCATACGGCGGAGAACTGACGGCTGATACATGCTTGACCACCTGGAAGCCATTGCCATCTAGGGTAAAAGACGAGACTGCAGGACGGATATCCGTAACTGCTACGACCTGCTGAGTGCAGTCTTCGAGCGTAGTGACACCAGCGATTGGGGAGGTTGGAAGAGCCGGCCCGCTATGGTAGGCTATGGTAGCAGTCACATTCTTGCCAACTGGCGACTCAAGAGAAGTGTGCTGTTGAGGCATCGTGATAAGAGTGATGGCGGTGATAGGTGAATTTGAATTGATTGACAGATGATGGTGTAAGAAGACGACGTACGGTTCCAAAGCAAGGATCGGTAATATTTTAAGTCCACGTCAAGCCCTCTGAATGTATAGTCTTGTACCCCAGGTACAAATAACAGATATCTAATACGAAGTTCGTATCATAGTTTTGATCAGCCGACAACATACTCTCCCGGATGATATCTTCCACCTACTCAGCACGGAACTTTGTGAGGTGTCACTTGCATTTGTGATTTGGTATCTCAAAATGTGATGATATAGTCTGCCGGCAGACTCAAAACTTGACGTGTCCCTTATGTGGCTGTAAAGGTGTTTGGTGGATAGGTAGCAGTGGGGGTTACAATTGCGACCCCGGTGTGTACCCATGGCATATGCATGTAACCTTCAGATTGCAACGCAAGGCCTCCTCTTTCAAGCTTCCGTTCGAAAGCGGGCCGGCCCAGATCGCCGGAGTTATTTTGAATGCCAGAATTACGTGTAGTCAATATTGGGAATGCCTGAAGTGGCAGTTGACTATTCTATGTTTACCTCGGCACATGGACAATGCCACGTATGCAGAACCATGAAGCTATTGTCCGGAAATGGTTGAGAATGCATGAATCTGGATTTATCCGAGGTTGCGAGGGTGTGTTGTTTGTCCTTCTGAGGCTTCTTGTTTTCTTGGTGAGAGCAGCGATTCGGGGTCAACGGGATGCCCTGACTTACACTCCCTCAACTTTCCCTCCGCTCTTCTGCCCTACAGAGACTCCAACCAGAGAATATCTAAGAGCCTTTTAGTACTAAGGACTAACGATAGATCTCATATGAATATCGATAAAGTGAGAAACTATAGGTAATATAATGATGGGACGTGGGTTGGCAGACTTGATCCTAAGCATTTGATCCAGTATCACAGTAAAGAATCATAACGGTATAGGATTATGTTCGATTGACATTAACAGAAATAGAAAACTAGCTTTGTCCTACATATCATACTGCCAATCATTCATCCCTCACTGACCGCTTCCTGACGCACAGCCTCGCCCTCGGATCAGGTATCATGTCACTATCAATCGTGATATTCCGCGGTCTTTCCTTTCCATCTGGCAACTTGAACTCAAATTGTAAGAGAAGTATAGCCAAAGTCAGCTTCATCTCATTAGATGCGTAAAACCGCCCCGGGCAAGCATATTTGCCATACCCAAACGCCATGTTACTGGAATCAGTCATGGAGAAAAGATATTTCTGTGCATAGTTTGAGTCTGAGCGGATCTTTGAGTATCTGAATCCATCAAACTCAGTTGGTGGCGTAGGACCTGGAACGTGAGCTGAGTCCTGAAGCATCGCGTGCGAGGGAACGGCGATGCGAGTCCCTGATGGGAGATTTGTGCCATCTGAGAGTGTCATGGGTTGGCGGTAGATGCGATTGAATGTTACTATATGTTTGAGTCATGAACTGAGAGGACGTAAGGTGGAGCAAGACTTACAGAGAAACACGGGGTTGAAACGTTGCGACTCTTTAAGAAAACTGTCCAGTTTGTGAAGCCGATTCAACGCCGTCTTGTCCCACCCACTAGCACCAACGACACCTTTGACCTCCTCTCTAAGAGGCTCGATATACTCAGGGCGAGCACACAAGTCATACATAGCATGCGTCATGGTCATTGCCGTGGTGTGAATGGAGGCGAGACTCAGGATGAGCATCCGCTGAGCAATGTTGTCAATGTGTTTCTCCTCCCCAGTCGCAGCTTCTCTCATCCATGACAGTATGTCTTCGTTCTGATCACTATTTTGTGAGCGAATGATGTCACCAATGACTTTACGGCCAGACGAGACGTTGCGAAGCAGTGTCCTATAAGAGGGGAGCAACGGAGCAACGAATGGTCTCAAGATATGAGGCACAACGCGGAGAATAAAGCCCGTGATGAACAGGCTCTCGCTATACTCTGCTGTGGTCGTCAACCATTCTTGGTTGCGACAGTGCTCTGGGCCGAGAAAGACTCTGGCTGAGATGCGTGATATGAGCCTAACCATGATGGAAGCGATGTCGACCTCAACCCATTCCTCATCTAACAATCATCAGAACTAATGGATCTAGTTTGAAGAGCGGAGAGGGAGTCTCACCTTTCATCTCAGGCATCTCTTTCATCAATGCATAGTCTAGTTCCTCCTTCATCACCTTTGTCAAAGCCACGAGTTTTGGCGTCAACCGGTGCTGAATCACACGATTTTGCAAATCACTCTGCAGAAAGACCATGCCCCGTGTATAGTGTCCCGCAAAGTCATTGATGAACGGCTCTACTGAGCGAGTCTTGTCCTGAGACAGCTTTCGCACTTCATCAATGTAATTTGGCGGGATTATGACGATATCGGTACCAAGCTTTCGCACCTGGAAGATGGAGTCTTTGAACTAAACAATGGCTTAGATACGACAGAGCTGCTGTAGGAGGGAATGCCTACTTTGTTGTAGCCTTGACTGATGATAGATCCCCCTTCCCAGACAAAGCGTAAACGTAGAAGCCATGTAGGCTCAAAGATACTTCGGTATCCTACGAAGGGAACTTTGACTGTAGAGGAGGACGATAGGACATGGATGACATAAGAGCATACCCAAGCGCCAAAGGCCACGTAGATCAGCCAGTGAACGTCCATAAGCGGTATACCATCAAGTCCCAAGACGAACTGCTCGAAAAAAGTTTCATGGCTAGTATTGTTCATTTTGTTGAGCCTATCAATTGCGTTTTGCTGGGGGTAGATGAGATGCAAAAGATGTTGGTTTAGGTAGCTAGCTAGAGTGATCAAGAAGGATTGTGGGCAATAAGTTCATTGCTTTACCTTTCTTTTGACTCACTGACACTCGAACAAGTCTTTCTTATCTGCTCCTGTTCATCATGTATAACTTTGTGCAGGATAACTTACTTTAAGCACTGATCGATTGGATGGAAAAGTTCTACGCGCCAGCAGCCATGAGCAGCAATCGTCAACAACCATTTCACAAATGTGCATCGGTATCAATATCCTCATTGAACAAGCCGGGCATTTCAGACCTCCCGAATCATCCGCACCAATCCCACTTCTCGTGTGTATCATATTTCTCCATAGGCCTCCAAAAGTTCCCAAGAATACTCACCCCCTTCTCAAGCGGAAGAGTGTTCCTTCGTGTTTGCACACCCCCGTCTTCAAGGGTGCACTCAACTGAGACATTAGCCATTTTTCGTTCATGATCCTATGAAGAATGCTCCTTGAGAAGTTATTGGAGGGAGGTGTATGCATACCTATGCCGCCTGCTCGAGTTTGACGCTGTATCTTGACCCCTGATAACGCTAGGACATGGACTTGGCACGAGCCTAAATTGTGGAGTTGGTGATTGAGATGTACGGAGCACCCCTTCTATTGTTGGAGTGCTATTCCGGCATGTAGTACGCGGGCTAATGCTTTGTTCTAGGAGACAATGGTTACAAGTCACTCTCTTCTGGAGACATTGATATAAGACTCATGTGCGCTACAGAACAGTCCTCTAGATATCAGCAATAGCTTTTTACTATTGAGCATACACTTCCCCCCAAGTCTTGACATCCCTTTTACTATACCACTTCACAGAATGACGAACAAATCTTCTTCTCACTACTATGAGTTCTCTAACAGCCATTCTCATGCTATCATGAAATTAGTGAGCGAGAATACTCTCGCATCATCATGCCTCGTCTTGGCAACCTGCGCCATTCTACTATGCGTTCAATGGCTCAAACCTCAGCCGTTGATCATGGTGAACGGCAGAAAGTTTGGTGAGCTCTCCAACGTCCGCGCTAAAAGGGACTTCACCTTTGGGGCTCGGCAGCTCCTAGAAAAGGGCCTTGAGATGAGCCCAGACAAGCCGTTCCGCATCATGGGCGACGTTGGCGAGCTGCACATCCTGCCGCCGAAGTATGCCTACGAGGTTCGCAATAATGAGAAGCTTAGCTTCACCATGGCAGCATTCAAGGTGAGGAGCTCGTGAATCATGAATATGGAATCAAGCTGATAACTAGAAATAGTGGTTTTATGCTCACCTTCCGGGTTTTGAGGGTTTTAGAGAGGGTACCAACGAGAGCCACATCATGAAGCTCGTTGCGCGACATCAATTGACTCATCAGTTGACTCTGGTGACAGGAGCTGTCTCTGAAGAGTGCGTTTTGGTGTTGAAGGATGTGTACACAGATGATACAGGTATGTTGATCTGCTATTTGCCGTAAGCGAGTCAGTGGCTAAATCAATGTCACAGAATGGCACGACATCACCGCCAAAGAAGCAAACATGAAGCTCATGGCCCGGATCACCTCCCGAGTATTCCTCGGCAAGGAAATGTGCCGAAATCCCCAGTGGCTTCGAATTACATCTACCTACGCCGTCATCGCCTTCCGCGCAGTAGAAGAACTGCGTCTCTGGCCATCGTGGCTCCGGCCCGTAGTCCAGTGGTTCATGCCGCACTGCACAGAGTCCCGAGCGCTAGTCCAAGAAGCGAGAGATCTTATCAACCCACTTCTTGAGCGGCGACGTGTAGAGAAAGCTGAGGCAGAGAAAACTAGAGAGAAAGTCACTTACAATGATGCTGTTGAGTGGCTGGATGACCTTGCGCGTGAGAAGGGCGTTGGGTATGACCCTGCTTGTGCGCAGCTGTCGCTCTCTGTGGCAGCTCTGCATAGTACTACTGATTTCTTCACGCAGGTCATGTTTGACATTGCGCAGAATCCGGAGCTTGTTGAGCCTTTGCGTGAGGAGGTCATTGACGTTTTGGGGAAGCAGGGATGGTCCAAGAACTCGCTTTACAGTCTCAAGCTCATGGATAGTGTCTTAAAGGAGAGTCAGCGGCTCAAGCCCATATCCATTGGTACGTGTGCCGGTCTTGGCTTGGAAAAACAACATGCACTAATGGATGGCAATAGCAAGCATGCGTCGCTTCACAACCCACGACGTCAAGTTGTCTGACGGCGTCATCCTTCCCAAGAACAGACTGACGCTCGTATCAGCCCAGCAGCACTGGGATCCAGAGCACTACAAGGATCCCCTGAAGTTCGATGGATACCGTTTCTACAACATGCGTCGCGAGCCGGGCAAAGAGAGCAAGGCGCAGCTCGTGAGCGCAACTCCGGATCACATGGGCTTCGGGTACGGACTTCATGCCTGTCCTGGGCGGTTCTTTGCGTCGGAGGAGATCAAGATTGCACTGTCTCACATTCTGCTCAAGTATGACTTTAAGCCTGTTGAGGGGTCGAGCATGGAGCCGAGGAAGTACGGCCTCAACATGAATGCAAACCCAACTGCAAAGTTGTCTGTTCGGAGGCGAAAGGAGGAGATTGCGATTTGATTGCTGGATCTGGGATGAGTGGGGCTCAGATAGTAGTTAGTTACTTAGGTATAAATGAATGCTTTGGAACCATGATTAAGGTTCAATGGCTATGACAGCAAATCTCGTATCTCGCGTGAGATATGCAGCCGATACCATTTCTGATTGGTTAGTTAGAGTACGATCTCGCCTCTACAGTAGACTCACTCAAGGGACGGGACTTGACTGGCTGATCGTTCCGTGACGCGGTCTCTGGGACGGGCCGGTAGCATAGCGCTCCCAGAGTCAACTTGTCCATCGCCGGACAAACGGAACAGGCTATTAGCTTCCACGCATTGAGGTCAAGGCGTCAATGGCTGGGCATGATTGACCCCTGGTAGAACTCTAGGTGCCAAGTGCATATAAGCACAATAGCCGAGCGGCAAAGAAGGCCAATTATGCTCGTTCAAGTTATCTTGCTAAGCTTCGCATCATCCGACGCTACCTACCCTGCTTTTAGCCCAAACCTTATATCTCCAGATGGAGGGTTTCTTGCATACCGGACGGAGGGTTTTGGGTCACGAAGTTCAAGTTTGCGGTGCACACCTCGCATGTACCTCGGCCATCATTCCCTTTTTGACTTGGTGCATCTGCCAATCGTACCTAACATGCATGTATCGTATGATATCAACAGGATGAGTCCGACAACTGTGATTCGTCGCTGACCTTTTTTACTTCCTTTTTTCAGCTCGTCCTGATCCAAGGTCTAGCTCCTTTTGGAGTTGTCAATGTCTTTCAATCTGCAGCCACTAGGAACATGCAACCGACATGTCAAAAGCCAAGATTCTAGATTATGTACAATTTATCGGGGACAACACCGGCATTACACCGCTGTTCTGTGAATCCCGGTGTTTCCGCCTCAAACATGTCTCCGTATCTTTACTCCTAGCGGGTTCCATCAGCCATGCTTGTGTTGACCGTGTTTGGGACTGCAGGCGCTGGCTGGTAAACACCAGCATGCATGGTCGACTAGTGACCAAGACCTTCTTCTTGAAACCTGGCTGCAGAAGTTCGTTGACGTTTACTGATCGAACTTGGCAATAGCTTGGCTGTCGGCACTTCTCTTGGACACCATCACTTCATACGTGGCACGTCAGATTCTGCTCGTGACCTGTTTGCATCTATGGAGAGTCACTCGGTGCATGATGAACGCATAGTCTATGTCTCATCCTTAAGTCCGAATCATACTCCGGAAGCACATAGGAATGACGATGGTGTCTCGAGCGATATTCCCAATGCGCTATACGTAGCCCCATGTGACCGGTTGTTGTCTCCCTCATCCATGTCCCCTTGTGAGGGTTTTCTTGATGCCCATTCATTTCCCCGGGTCTTCTGCTGAAATCACAACCTCCTCTCACAGATTATCAGACCTAGCTCCTTCTCTTGAGCATCTTGTCTGCTTCAACCACAAACAAGATGAGCATCCTCAATATGATCACCAGCTACGCTGGTAGCCAACTTTTACCCTTCTATATCGCCATATTCATCTTCACCTTAGTCCCATGGGTAATCCGTTTCTCTTGGCCAGAATTACGCAAGGGATCGGTGGTGCCACTTGCGAACCCCCCTGAATCGCTATTCGGCACCAGTAAAACCAGGGTCAGATCATCTGTTGACGAGGCAACCGAACGAAAACTGACTTTGTCCACAGAGAAATTTCGTCAAGCTTAGCAGAGAAATTCTTGCCAAAGCGAGAAGCTTGTTCCCTGATGAGCCTTTTCGCCTGATCACGGATTGGGGTGAGGTTCTCATTCTCCCGCCGGATTTTGCAGATGAGATTCGAAATGATCCGAGACTCAGCTTCTCCAAGGCGGCGATGCAGGTTAGTGCCGCAAGAGATTAAGATCTCCATTTTTGAGCCCTAACAAGAGGATAACGTGCTACAGGATAATCATGCTGGAATACCTGGATTCGAGACTGTTGCCCTGGTCGGTCGTGAAGATCAGCTCATTCAGAAGGTGGCCCGTAAGCAGTTGACCAAGCATCTCTGTAAGTCGCTCCACCGCGGAAGAGTGAAGAAAGCTCGCTCACAACTGGGAGCCGCTGTCATAGAGCCATTATCCAGAGAGTCGACCCTCGCAGTGTCGCTCAACTTTGGAGAGACGACAGGTAAGTCCCTCTCGGAGCACATCATCCAGGGACTATCACTAACCGACCAAAAAACACAGAATGGCGAGCGATACGACTCAAGCCAGCGATTCTAGACATCATAGCCCGCATCTCGTCAAGAATCTATCTCGGCGACCAGCTTTGCCGTAACGAAGCGTGGTTAAAGATCACCAAGACATACACCACCAATTTCTACACTGCATCTACCAACCTACGAATGTTCCCTAGACCGATCCGACCTCTCGCCCACTGGTTCCTCCCCGAATGCAGAAAGCTTCGACAGGAGCGCAAGGATGCAGTTGGTATCATCACGCCCCTGATTGAGCGCCGTCGTGAGCTTCGAAGAGCCGCGATGGCAGCTGGTCAGCCTCTGCCTGTGTTCCATGACGCTATTGACTGGTCGGAACAAGAGGCAGAAGCTGCAGGCTCTGGGTCCGCGTTTGATCCGGTAATTTTCCAGCTGACCCTCTCCCTTCTTGCAATTCATACCACGTATGATCTCCTTCAGCAGACAATGATTGATCTAGGTCGTCATCCTGAGTACATTGAGCCCCTGAGGCAGGAAGTCGTGCAGCTACTTCGCGAGGAAGGCTGGAAGAAAACAACCCTTTTCAAGATGAAGCTTCTGGACAGTGCTATCAAAGAATCCCAGCGTATGAAGCCTGGTAGTATAGGTATGCGCTTCCTTCACCAATGTGCATCGCACTACTGACAATCGCAATACAGTTACTATGCGTCGCTATGTAACCGAAGACATCACTCTCTCCAGCGGCCTAAGTTAGTCAATCCCACATCCCACCGACATTCCTGACTAACCCCTCCCTTAACTAGCCCTCAATAAGGGGACCCGCCTCAACGTAGATAACAGACGCCTCGATGATCCCAAGATCTACGAAAACCCCGAGGTCTACAATCCCTATCGCTTCTACGACATGCGCTCAGAAGCTGGCAAAGACCACGGGGCACAGCTCGTATCAACTGGCTCCAACCATATGGGCTTCGGCCACGGTCAGCATTCGTGTCCAGGGCGCTTCTTCGCTGCGAATGAGATCAAAGTAGCGCTTTGTCACATCTTGGTCAAGTATGATTGGAAGCTGTGCCCTGACACGGAGACTAGGCCTGATACAAGGGGCATGATCGCCAAGTCTAGTCCTGTCACGGATATTCTTATCAAGCGCCGGGAGTCGGTTGAGTTGGATTTGGAAGTAATTTGATACGAGAAACCGCTGCAACTTGTTGCATATTACTCTAGCTACTAAATTGAAGTCATCTTCCCGAGATCCTCGAGTCCGTGTATCGTTCAGTAATTCAGCGCTTATATCGTCGGCCCCTGTCGTGACCTTACCAAAACCATGTATGCTCGCTATGTGACTATCAATGCGTCGATTTGCCGTATACCAAAAGCGTGACTCTTGCAACGTTGCCAAACCATTCTCTTACAGGTCCCCTCTCTCTTGCACGGTCCCCTCCTGGCTTCTTCTTTGCATTCGCCTTCCGGATCCATAATCGCGTCTTTGCAATCACCCAGGCTAGGAAATTCTCCTCAAAGTCCGACCGGATGATTCGGTGCTCAAGCAATCCCGCTCGCGGAATCAGGCCTGAAGCGCGATCCCAGCCAAGAGCCGAACAGGGAATGGCACACACAGACACACTCCAGGCTACATTCGGATTGTAACCTTGTGAGACGGGACGTCCTGCAAGTATAGCACACCCGCTACCGCCTCCAAATATACAATATAACCCCTGAATGATTGTCAGTGGACCAGCTAGTTGGGGTGGTAAGAGTCATTTGCAGCCATTCGGAAGACCTACCATATTAGACTTTAGAAGATCTGATTGGCTGATCCTCTTCATCGATAAGATCGAGTCAGTAGCCAATCAGATGCAGGGATAACGGGGATTAAGTACCCACTGACAATCATTCAGGAGTTATATTGTAAATGCGGGTCGGTTTTAAAGAGACTGCCAAACTCGCAATGCTTGATCCTAGACTCTAGACCCTGACCGACGCGCTTTGTCAGCGGGCGCTAGAATAAGTTCGGCACTTGATGTGCCGGCTTATCTAGTGCCGGCTTATCTAGTGCCGGCTTATCCAGTGCCGGCTTGCAATACCCGTTTCTGCTAATTCTTAGCCGTTACAATCAAGGCTGCGAATACTTTGCAAAGCACGTCACCTTTGATCCCATCACTGTATGTCCTTATCAGTTCGGTTGACGACTCCACCACAAACAGGTCGAGGCACATAGCTTACTGGCGCTGTTGTCGAGAGGCATTGGTAGACATTGGAGGCAGTCAATAATTAGTCTGGTCATGGGATCTCGACTAATGTTTCCATCGTACGTTTGTCCATATGTACAGGAAGGATCTGCAAAAGTTGAATGTGTGGTGTCACTTAGCAGTCACACGATGATGAACAAGCTCTAGGTGCCTCTTCCTTACAACAAAAACAAATCATCCATGATAGACTAGCACTGTATATCTCTGCTGCCTAAGCTTCCAGCTTTAGGCGTTCCACCAAGGCCCTCAATACAGGGTTATCCTTATCCATACTAACTTCCAGGCTTCCAATCTGGGCTAAAACTCTTGTGTGCAGCATGCCAAGGAGTGCACTCGTCCAGTCTAAGCTCCCGTTGCTTTTTATCACTTCCAACACCAGCATCTTTTGCTGTCTTGTAAGCTTACCCTGGACTCGTCTCATCGATAAGATGTTGGTGAGAAGACCACTTGAGTCACTCTGTAGAGCATGCATCAGAGTCAACGAGTATTTACCCTCGTCCAAGTCCTCGCAGAATCCTTTCTGATCAATGTACTGTGAATGCTTAGCAATGGGTCTGGAACATAATGGAGAACATATGAAAGTGCCGACAAGTAAAACCCCTGTCCTAATAAATGAAGATAAGAAATAGCTGCGGGGAACGTGCCTTATTGTCAATGAGATTCATGTAGTCATCTCTAATCTGGAAATACTGCCCGAGCAGTGACACAACACCGCTTAGAGACGCAAGTGTGCTGTCACTGATACACACTTCAGAGTTCAGCACCAGTAGCTCAAGTGATAACCTAAACAGGGCACCAGTCTCTGAAGTAACTTAGATTAGCCGATGATCAATCGCAATAAACTGGGGCATCTTACTGTCATTGACCATCAAAAGATACTCTTGTATAGACGGAACAGTGGTGTTAGCTGTCCACCATAGATCCATTGCCTGACCCTGGAAGATTGTGGCTATAGTACCAGTCATCTCTGCCAAAGCATCATAGCTGACGATCTCCTGTATCTTCTCGATTGCCTTGACTATGACATACGTTGCTGTGTTTATTGCTTGGGCTGGACCGAAGACAGTGTGTGTAGATGGTTTGCCCCGCCGAAGTGGAGAGTTGTCTTGAAAGTCATCGATTCTGAAATGTCAGCCGGTCTCCAGCAAGGGCAAATTGGAATGCTAACATGAGAGAGGAGTTGTGGAGCATGCCGATCACCTCTTTGATCACAGAGGTCTTGTCCTCCGGAACATCAAGCCAGATATTCAGCGAGTCAATGAAGGCCCCACGAATACCTTTGGAGGGGAGGGTCAAGATATAGTTGTAGGGAGAATCAGCAACCTGTAGACATCAGTAAGTGGTAACAAAGTCGAGAGACAAAGTCGATCTGTGCCTACCTGGCGGCGCTGTGACTTCCACCGGTTATTGAGCTCCGAGCTCATAGCTGTTGAAAAGCACAGCTGAGAAACTATCTCTGGTGAAGCTGCATTTTGAGACAGAGGAAAGGAGACACGCCGTTCCTCATAGCGAGATAAAGAACCGCCTTCTGAAGAGGAAGAGTCTGGAGGAGTGTCTTTGTAATGGAAAGGATCCGTTACTTGAACTGTAATTTCCAGCTTTTGGGTTGCGTGGAAAGCATCAAACATTGAAAGAAGGTTGGAGATCTGTTGCTCGGCCATGATAGCATTTGAAACGTGTACGTTTATATCGTGGGACGAAGGAGACACAATGTTGAAGGAGAATGTAAGAGGGAAGGAAAGCTCATACAAACTTACATAGTGGTGCGAGATGCTCCAAATAGTAGGATACCAATACATATTATTACTATTAATGTTTCATGTATATGTTGGGGTTCACCCAGTCCAAGGCAAGACAGAGATATCCCGAAGCACAAGATTGAGCATGTTCCTTTCTCCTCCATGGCTGTCCTATTCCGTGTCCACATGTCTCAGAATTGTATGCCGGGTTCCCCTCCTCAAACTTCACATGCATACTCTGGGGGTCTCAGCTGCATCATGTCAAATTTGTTTACAGTCCCGGATTTGTCCATAACTCCGGGTACCCAGACTAGCAAACGTGCAGATAAAGCCGCCTTGGTTAGGACGGACTTAGGTTGTTGTCTCTTTCCTCACCACTCCTGCCGGGTAACGGGAACTTTTGCCATGCATATGCATAGATACCCTCCCAGTCAACACGGGTGTCACTTAAACTCACACCTCGTAGATTTATCGTCGCCCTAGGGGTCTGGTCATTGGCATGCGTGTTTGCGGGCTGCAAGATACCAGATTCGATGCGCACGGGCGCCCGCAATTGACTTCCAATCTGCAAACCTACTTTGCGATCCCAAAGGGGGAAAGATGGCGCTTGATGGATTCCTCCGTCTTCCCATGGGTGGCAGAGGCATGCCCATGCGTGGTTCTCGTATCCCAGATCATAGCCAAGTCGTCTGAGACAACATTGACGATATCCCTCATCACAGATATAACAACTGTATTCTTCTCACATCGACGTACGCTCAAGCTTCATCACTACAGTGAACCTGAGATAGTTACTCAAGATGCCGTATGTAACAGAAACCCCTTTTCTTGACGAGTATCCTAACCCATATAAGCGGAAAGATTCAGAATGATATCCCCAGGGACATCAAGACAGAGAATGACTTGGTCCCAGCAGCAAAGTCTCTACTGGACCGCGCCTTCAAGAGCCATCATAACTATTACGGTCTGTGCTCTACAAGCCCTCAGGTATATGACACTGCCTGGGTCGCCATGATACCCAAGACGAGAGACAATGTTAAGCATTGGCTGTTCCCTGAGTGCTTCCACTATCTACTAAGGGCTCAGGCTGCTGATGGCAGCTGGGGTTATCTCCCGACGACCCAGACTGCTGGTATTCTAGACACTGCTTCGGCTTTGCTTGCTCTCGTGTCTCATTTACGAGAGCCTCTGCAGATACTAGACGTCTCGCCAGACGAGCTGAGTCTCAGGATCGAACAGGGAGTTGCTTCTCTGAAGCGACAGCTAGCTGTCTGGAATGACGTTGAGGAGACCAACCACATTGGCGTCGAGCTGATCGTCCCAGTTTTACTTTCTACGCTTGAGAAAGAACTCGGCGTCTCACTGTTTGACTTTCCTTGCAGACATGTCTTAGACAGGATGCATGAAGAGAAGCTCAGCCATTTTGACTTGGAGAAAGTGTACGGCAAGCCGTCTTCAGTACTTCACTCTCTTGAAGCCTTCCTTGGGAAGCTGGACTTTGATCGTCTCTCCCACCATCTTTACCGTGGCTCTATGATGGCTTCGCCTTCTTCCACGGCTGCTTACCTCAATGGTGCAAGCAAGTGGGACGACGAGGCTGAAGATTACCTGAGACATGTTATGAAGAATGGTGCTGGTCATGGAGATGGTGGTATCTCGGGAACCTTTCCAACGACGCATTTTGAGTGCAGCTGGGTGAGTAATATGGTTCAGTTTACTCTTTGGCCGCTAACCTCGGGTGTAGATCATAGCGACGCTATTGAAGGGCGGCTTCACTGTCAAACAAATCGATGGTGATGGCTTGCGCGGCTTATCAGCTATACTTGCCAATGCGTTGAGGGACGAGAAAGGGGTAATTGGCTTTGGTAAGAAAACCTTTGGCTCTATTCACGAACCATGGAGATTAATTATGATATAGCACCCCATACAGCTGATGTCGATGACACGGCAAAAGCTCTTTTGGCGCTGAGCCTCGTCGATCAACATGCCAGCCCAGACATCATGATCAAGGTCTTTGAAGGCAAAAGCCACTTCACCACATTTGGATCGGAACGTGATCCCAGCTTGACTTCCAACCTTCATGTGCTGCTGAGTCTCTTAAAGCAGCCCAACCTAAGCCAATACCATCCCCAAATCCTTAAGACCACCTTGTTCATCTGCCAATGGTGGTGGGATAGCGACCATCACGTCAAAGACAAATGGGTAAGCTCTACCTCTCACCCGGTAGAAGTACTCACTAACACTTCTAGAATTTGAGTCACCTATACCCTACTATGCTTCTAGTGGAAGCTTTCACGGATGTGCTTCATCTGATTGACGGCGGCAACCTTTCTGGTCTCTTTGACGAGAGCCTCAAGTGCAAGATTGGCCTGTCAGTCTTCCAGGCTGTCCTACGTATCGTTCTCAGTCAAGACGATGATGGATCTTGGAGAAGATACCGGGAGCAAACATGCTACGCCATTCTCGCTCTTGCACAGGCACGCCGGATCTGCTTCTTCACTCACATGGAGCATATGATACAAAGTTGCATTGACCGTGGCGTTTCGTGGCTCAAGACGAGCAATTTCCATTCTCAGGACCTTGCTTGGACGTCTAAGACGGCATATGAAGTTGGATTTGTTGCTGAAGCGTACAAGCTAGCAGCCCTGCAGTCAGCAAGCTTAGAAGTACCCGCCGCTACTGTTGGTCATAGCCTCACCTCAGCAGTTCCTTCATCTGATTTGGAGCAATACATGCCCCTTGTTCGTAAGACTGCTTTGTTCTCACTGCTGGAGGAGTGGGAACTCAGAGCGTCGATCATTGAGTCTTCGTTCTTCGTACCCCTTCTACAAGCGCAGCGCGTTGAGATTTACCCGAGGGACAAGATCAAGATCGACGAGGACAAATATCTGAGCATCATTCCTTTTACTTGGATCGGATGCAACAACAGGAGTCGCACGTTTGCATCCAACAGGTGGCTCTATGACATGATGTACCTGTCTCTCTTGGGCTATCAGACTGATGAGTACATGGAAGCTGTTGCTGGGCCAGTCTTTGGTGATGACTCTCTGTTTCACCAGACCATCGACAAGATTATAGATAACACCAATGTGAACTCTACTGGGACCAATGGGACCGCGCGCCATGGGAATGGTCATCAATGCGAGTCATCCATCATTGGAGAAGTCGAAGATACTCTCACTCGCTTCATCAACAGCGTCCTCAACCACAAAGATGTTCTAAGGTCGAGCTCTTTCGATCAAGACACTCTTCGCCAGGAGCTCAAAACGTTCATGCACGCCCATGCCACACAGGTAGAGGACAACAGTCGCTTCTCCCAGCAGGCCTCTAGTGACGTTTTCTCTTCCCCAGAGCAGTCATACTTCCAATGGGTTAATAGCACAGGAGGCAGCCACGTCGCTTGCGCATACTCATTCGCCTTCTCCAACTGTCTAATGTCAGCGAATCTGCTCCAAGGCAGAGACGCATTTCCCTCCGTCACTCAGAAGTATCTTATCTCCTCTGTCTTGCGCTACGCTACAAACATGTGTCGTATGTATAACGACTTTGGCTCTATAGCTCGCGATGATGCTGAGCGGAATGTCAACTCGATGCACTTCCCCGACTTTGCGCTGTGCAAAGGAACGTCACAGAGTCTTGACGACAGAAAGAAGAGGCTTGCTGAGATAGCTAGTCATGAGCAGGGTTGTCTTGACCGTGCTTTGGAAGCTCTGGAGAGACAGTCTCGGGATGATGCAGGAAATTGTGCTGGTTCTGAAGGGAGGAAGTTTAAGATTGTAAAGCTATTCTGCGATGTCACGGACTTGTATGATCAGCTTTATGTGATCAAGGACCTTTCAAGCAGCATGAAGTGATGGAAGAGTATCAGGCGGGTAATTTTGCTATGTAATTTACTTAAGTTTACTTTATGTCACGTAGTGTTAGTTGAGGCTCACCACATTGGAACCCATTTAAGCATTTCTGTCCGATGTACTTGGAGCTTCAAATACATAATTTACCCGCTCGCAAACAAGGTCAATATTCTACATGACACTTTCTCTTTAGCAAGTCAGAGGCCGAACCCGACCGTCATGTGCCTTTCCCCAAATTAAGATTCTGTTGTAATCTGCGTTTGTGTTATAGGGTCGCGTATTCAAGCCGTGTAGTCGAATGCATAAAGTATGGTGACACTCGGAAAACCCGACAACAAGCCGCAGGGATCTTGTCACGCTGCATATTTTGATCTCTTATGATATTGCAGCCACTATCTGCACACCTAGCTTCAGAATTTTGTTTCGGCGCTATCACCTTAAGTCCGTGATGTTACAGCGGCTGAACAGGAGTAGTGACCCATGGAACTTCTGTTACTCGTGACGCGGAGTGATGACGTGTCAAGATAGCGAGTGCACGGGATCTGGAAGTAACTTTTCACTTATGCTAGACCTTTCCCATAGGGGAACAAGACAGTCTCTTCCTTACTAGTCGACGATTTAAGCTTCATCTATGCTATCCCAAAAGTTTATTGCACTATGATGAATGCTTCCATCAAGATAATTGAGCGTCTCGAGCTCGCTGGCTTGCGCGCCTTGCGTATTGTAGTAGCGTTCGCCGTGATTTGGGGCACTACAGGGCTGCTGGCACTCACGTGGTGGATCTACAAGCAGTTATGCAAAGAACGAGTTCTCCCATATCCCGTGGTAGGCGATCCTCACGCTCGGTCGTTGGAGGAGAATCTCATCCAAGGAATGCAAAAGGTAAATGCCTCGCTTTCGCCTCCAGTCGTCTCTAAATTACACAGTACCACGACTCGCCCTTCGTGTTGGCTGGATCACATCCACCACTGTTGATCCTGCCAATGTCTGTTTTTCATGAAATACACAACATGCCAAATGAATGTATTTCCATCATAGCAGAGCATGAAGACAAGTTTCAGGGCAAATACACGCACATCAATACCATCCGACCTGAGATTCCCGCCACTATTCGTCAGGACTTGACCCGTAATATGCCCAGAATTATACTGGACTTCCAGGATGAGCTGGCATACGCCTCCGAGTTCTGGCCCAGAACGAACGATTGGACGACTGTATCATTGTACGAGATGATGCTAAGTACCGTCGCTCTCTTAAGTGGCAGAGCATTTGTCGGCCTGCCCTTGTGTCGCGATCAAAGCTGGCTACAAGCTTCCATAGGCTATACTGTCCACTGTGTTTCAATACGCGATCAGCTGCATACCTGGAGTCCAGTGCTGAGACCAATTATTGGACCATTCCTGCCTAGCGTGCGTTCGGTGCGAAGACATCTTCGCTTCGCAGCGGAGATAATGGCTCCTTTCATCTCGCAAGTTTTAGAGGAAGATGGAAATCAACATCAGACAGACGCACCTCTGACGGATCAGACCAAGGGGCGAGGCACCTTTATTTCCTGGCTTCTTCGACATATGCCTGAGGAGCTTAGAACCCCAGAACAGGTCGGGCTAGATCAAATGCTGGTCTCGTTCGCTGCGATCCACACTACCAAGAAGTCATATAAACCATAGTATTTGTGCTCCTTCCTGATTTTGTTTCATTGATAGCCATGGCCCTAACCAAGGTTGTATGGGAGCTTGCGAAACGTCCAGAATACATTGAGCCATTGAGGGCCGAGATGCACGACGTCTTTGGACCTGAGGTTGGTACAGGAGCCATTTGCATGAACAAGGAAGCTTTATCTAGACTACAGAAATTAGATAGCTTCATCAGAGAAGTCCAGCGCTGGTGCCCTTCCACATTTGGTAAGTCCAAGAACCCATACTCGAGCTAATACACGCAGTACTAACCGAGTGCTCGAGTCACTCCAAGCAGACGCGTCATGAAGTCAATGAAACTATCAAATGGTATCAAGCTATCGAAAGGGACCTCTATAGCAGTCCCCGCCCACGCAATCCAGTACTTCGCTGCCCTTCCTCTTGCCATTAGCCACAGTACTGACTATCTAACAGCATGTCCGAAGAGACGCCAATATTCTCGCCAGACTTTAGCTCTGGCTTCATGAACCCGGCACCTCTCATATTTGACGGGTTCCGGTACTCGAATCTCCGATCTATAAAAGGACAAAAGTCGCACCACCAGGCAGCCACTACGGGTCCTGACTATCTGGTCTTCAACCATGGAAAGCACGCATGCCCTGGAAGGTTCTTTGCCATATGTGAGATCAAGATGATACTCGTGGAACTCTTGGCAAAGTACGATTTTAGACTTGAGGATGGAAAGCCAGGGCCTGAGTTGATGCGTGTTGGGACAGAGACTCGACTAGATACTAAAGCTTGTCTCGAGATAAGAAGGAGATAAAGACGGGGTCACAATGAGATAGGCCTCTATTTGGGGCTTGATTTCTGGGGGAGGCTGTGCAATGGGTAAGAGTAGTCCAGCATAGCAAAGCCACAGATGTCTGTCTGTCGAGTAAATGGTCACCAAGATCGCCAAATGGGGACTTTGAATCGGTTATATATATCACAACATCAATTACACAGAGTTGTAATGATAATGAACAATATCAGTACTCGGCCATTACCTAGAGCCTTTGTGCATCAGCCCAGCGTTGCCAGCTGCGGCTATTACGCAGGTGCTCCATTGCGTCAACATCCAGCGTAATCAGCACCTCAAATTTAGTAGCATCTGTTTCTGGCAACACCAATCCCGCTCCAGTACCAAAGCCAGCTTGTGATCTGCGCATAGCATCTGGAGCATCGCCCCTTGTAGAGTCCTACTTGCCAAGTCCCGGCAAGGCCCAGTTAGTCCGCGTTCAAAAGTGTCGCTGAGTTTTTAGGTAAAAGTCCAATGGATAACTGAGGTCAAACCCAAGCCCTATGGATCGTGGGGCTGAGACCTTGCGGAACAGAGTATGTGAGTAGCCACGAAGTCGTCGTTGACGCTGAGGATAGCCTCGTCGATGGTAAGTGCTATAGATGCTAGGGCCGAGTAAGGGATTCCTTGATCCTCGTTACATGCTGCTAATATAGTTGACTTGTTGCTTGAGGCGATGGGAAGAGCTATGGTGTTGCCAGAGCTACAACTAATGGCAACGCTGGACATACATCGGCGCCAATGGAGAGATATCATAAGCCGTGCATCTCCAGCAAGAGGCGCCTCGGATGGTAGACTGGCTACACTGGCTTTGGCGACATAAGCTCATGTAATACCGGCAAGATATTTAAATGCTGAAGGCAGGTGTTTCGAGTCTGTGAGTCGCGTGTACGTGAGTTTGTCTTTGAGAGCACGAACAGTCTCATCCTGAATTACAAAAATACAGCCCGTGTTGTTTGGTGGTTTTTCTGTTCTCGGAGCTCGAAACTGAGCTAGGCCGAGTGGAGATGAAAGAAGTCGATACTCAGGGCAACGAGAAAGTAGCTCTTTCAAGTCCGTAACCGGCAGCATGGGGACAACTACAGGGGCTTCGTCACCCAAACGCGCTGGAATTGTAATATCCAGTCTCTTTTCTAGGTCTTTGGTAAGTTCAGCAAAGCACCTAATGACAATGTCCATGCGTCCAGCGTCGAACATAGAATAATGACCATAGATGCCAAGAAGCAATCAGCCATCTATAAGACGGACATGAACTTCAAAAGCAGGAACCCCTTCTCTCTCTTCTTCAAGTCGATGGGAAATGTCAAAAGATTCATCGACAAAGGCTTTGGCTGGAAAGCCTTGACTCTTGAGCTGATTGTAAGTCCAGCTAAATGAGGCCCTTCGGTCGAAGAACTTGAGAGGAGTATCCTTTCTGTCATTCCTGCTAATGGCTAAATGGCCTGGTGGGTCTGCTAGGAGGAATATCCTGCCACTCAAATCCGAAAAGTCGTCTTGATAATTCCAATAGGACCATTGCTAGGTGTTGCTTGAGTCAATGGAGGGGAAAGCTCTATGCAGTTAATACGAACGGCACTGGTCCCATCCCGTGGCTGCAGAACATTATGTGAGCTGTTATAAGTGTAAGCGGTAATCTCTCAGCCACAGTAGACTGATGACATACAATAGATAGAGAAGGCCACCATCTTGTTTCTCACCTTCTCATCCCCAAATTAAGGGTTATAGCAACTACCATCGAGGCTAAGGCCATACCTGGGATTGTGGAGACAAGAACCTTCCTTCTTCCCAGAATGTCTATAGAGTAGATTAAGGGTTAGCAGAATAAGAAGTTGAAGAGACCAAAGATCAAGTTATACAGCATGGCCCCGGAGATTTGAGCTTCTGTTGGCTGATCGCCTGGGCCAATACCGACAAGTGTTGTCCCCCCGTAGAATGCCATGAGTTTAACTGAACAGCGTCAATGAAGTCACAATGTTCAAACAGGTCGATCGACTCACTTTCAAAAGTTTGTTGCGACAAAGCCACAATCCAGGTTGTAATAGATGCATTGCGAAGACGAACTCGGAGTCGATAGGTTGCTTCTCCGACATGAGCCACTGATCAGCGAACAGATTTATACCGTTTCGCTGCTCTGAGCAAAGCCCTGGAGAAAGGCACCCAGACTAACAGTGAAGATGACCATCCACATCCCGTTCTCAGAGAATGAATGGTCAGTCTCATTCATCAGAGCGCGTTTCTCGGCGTCATTGAGGGGTATGACGGTGCTGGTAGTGCTGCCGCTATCTAGGTTGCCCTTTCGTAGCTTCGCGGATGGCGTCCTCGATGCTGTCCTTCTGCTGCCACATCGCGGCTGCATCTTGAACTTCTATTTTGGTGGGATAGGGTCTAAGGCGGGTCAGGGTTTGGGAGCTATCTTGATAGAGCTTTTAGGCATCCGCATGGAGCTCCCCTTGTGTCATGTTTGCTGTTGCGGTTAGTCTAAGTTTCGAAACGAGATGTGCAATTGCTATGTTTACCTAGTGCATTGTGATAACGACGCGGTGGTCTAAGAGATACCATGCTGGGCCGTGACCTAACGCCGGGATGGAGTAAATACAGGTGCTCGTGATGTCTAGGATAGGAGAACAAATGTTATTATGTCGATGAAGGAAGTGCTTTGCATGCGGACAGGGGCAGAGAAGGATAATGATTTAAGTTTGCCTTCTATTGGGAGAACCCTTTGCTTTTAAGCTAAGATTTCCATTTAAGTGTAAGTTCGGTAGTTCTTCTTGGTTCTGCGGCCGGCACAGATGCAATGAGGCTCTGTGTTGCCGCTTCTCTAAGCTCGTTCTTACTGTCTGCCTTGGGAGCCATTGGGTTTTGCCGCGAGCGCCGCAACTGATTGCTGAAACTCACGATGGTACAACCATTGCTTCTATTATTCGGGACTTGGAAGAAGGGAATGGAGTGTCTCCATCCTCGAGGCTTTGCTGAGGTCTTTCGCACGTCGAAGAGATACCAGACGAGCCTCCACAGTAAGTCACGACAGAGGGATTTTTGGATTGGGGCAAAGAACAACGCTATCAGGTTGAGGTTTCCAGTTTCAGACACAATGTCGTCTGTGAGACGGCTCCCGGCGCGCTGAAGGGTACTTCATCTATCCATCAAGCTATCAAGACAAACAATATGTTTATAATGGTGCAGATGTTATCGCGGGATTGCAATATCGAGGTCCGTTTGGAAGCTGGGAGCCAGTACCTAACGCCCGTCCTTCTGGCATGTTCTGAGCTGAAGGATGTTGCAGTCAAGCTTCTTCTTACCAAGAGTGGGAAAGTTGATGCGACTGCTAGCAAGGGTCAGACAGGTCTTCACCAGTGCCAGAGTTCGAAATTGCAAGGAAGATGCATCGCAAAGCTTCGCCTCGAAGATCCAGGGCCAAGGCCCTAGATGTCAATTCTCAAGATGACTTTCAAATGAGAGCGGCAAACATAGCCGCAAGAATTGCAGATGTGAGAAGGCTGCAGTACCTCTTGCTGGATCAACCTGGCAAAAAGGCTGCCAACGCAAAGGCACAGCAACAAGATGATGGACGCCACGAATGGTCACCCTGAAATCCAACATAGCCAACAAGAAACAGGTCATCGATGTGCTATCGAGATTCAGCGACTTGAGCGTCAAGAATAATAACGGCGATGATGGTAAGAACGTGGCTGAGAAACATAGTAAAAAGTACGTTCGCAGGTATTTGGACAGCACAAAGCCTTGGCGGCCAAACGAATCTCTGATGGTTGTCTCAGAGACTTGAGTACAAACGGGCGAGGAATCGTACAGTGGTTGTAAACAACATCGTCTTCGGTTGAAGCACTGCAAGCTCAGTATCACGGATTCGGCGTTTCCGCCGGATTGAAAACGCACACTGAGGAAGTATTCAAGTGATTAGTCTAGTATAGCAATGGGGAGTGCCTTAGTTCAAGTGTACAGCAGGCTGAATAGATGTTAGTTATCTTTATGCCTTATCCATGCAACAGTTAATAAAGCTGATTCATAATTATAGCCATTATTATGACACTCACACCCAGGCCGAACTCAGCAAGCCATCTAAGGGGTGCTTTTCTGAGGAGCAGTTCAAGACATGCGAACACATCCTGTCTTAGTCCGCATCGTGCTTTAGTTATGACATCAATCCCAACCGCAAGCTTCTCTACGCGACTACCAGTCCAATCCTGTATAGCATCAGAAACCCGGGTATCAACCTCGCGTTTTAAGTTATTACCAAGCCGAGCGCGAGCTATCAAACACGCGATGGTGCTTCTCCGAGGAGAAGTGTATGCTATGTGATTGGCCCAGATGCCGCTGATGCCGCAAACACCAGGTTTTTGGTGTCGCTTGACATGCAGGCTGACATCGGGTATCCGGGTAATCGATACACGGGAAACCGTTGAGTGGCGTTTGTCGCTGACTGGCTTCGGGCATTACAGTTGCAGAGATACTGTTTCCGGAATCAGACGGAGATAGTGTGATGTCGAGTATTAATTCTTGTAAGCCACTACAGTATTTAAACATTGCTGTATCACAGTCGCTATTCTCAAACGTCTCGGCAACCATCATCTTCAGTATCCAACAAAACAGCAATATATCCTACAACACTCTATTCTTATTACAAAATGGCATCCTCTAATCTCCCATCTATAATGAAAGCCATCCTCCAGTCCAACAAGCACTCCCACAAACTCATCCTCTCATCTCAACAACCAGTTCCTACCCGAACCCATCCTCAAGACATCCTCGTCAAAGTCCACGCTACCTGCCCCTGCAAGGGTGAACTCGACTGGGCCCTCTGGGCGTCCGAGTTCATCGGCGACAAGATCCCCATTCCCGGCCAAGACCTCGCAGGAACCGTCGTCTCAGCCCCAGAGAATAGCGGCTTCAGACCCGGCGACGAGGTCTACGCCCGTATTGAAGCCAACCGTCCTGGCGCAGGTGCTGAATATGTCCTCGCCCGGGTCTCTGAGCTTGCCATCAGACCCAAGAACTTGACCTGGGCTGAAACTGCGGCGAGTCCTATCAGTGCGCTTACTGCATATCAGGGATTGTTCACTAGAGGAGGTTTAGATCCTGAGGCTGTGAAAGGCGATGGAGCTGCGCGGGAGAAGAATGGCAAGATCCGGGTTTTGATCAATGGTGCTGCTGGGGGAGCGGGAAGCTGGGCGGTGCAGCTCGCTCGTATCGCTGGAGTCAATACTATCGCAGGAGTTGTTGGAACACAGAATATCGATCTCGTTCGACAACTTGGTGCGACTGAGACCATCGACTACAAGAAGCAGAGCATCGGAGAGTGGGTTGCCCAAGATCCCGCATCTCGACAATTCGACCTTGTCTTTGACTGTATTGGTATGCCTTCTCTGGCCCAGATGTGGTATGCAGTTCGAGAGGGAGGAATCCTGGTCAGCGTCTGTGCTCCACCAGAGCAGAATCGTCCGGAGGATGTCAAGAAGGATGTCAACAGTTTCTTCTTCGTCATTGACCCCATCGGCAAGGATCTAGATGTCATCACTAAGCTCCTGGAAGCAGGTCAGATTAAGCCGCATATTGATAGCGTGGTTGGTCTCGACGATTTTGAAGATGCCTGGGAGAAAGTTGAGTCGGGTTGAACTAAGGGAAAGGTCGTCGTGATGGTGATTAAGGACGAATAGTAGAAGGTTCAAACATTCATCTCAATCATCGACATCCTATTTAATCGTGTACTTAGTTATAGATCTCATCTCGTAATATCTATTCCCATCATCCAGAATGCTTCACCCAGCAAGCCTGAGGATTACACCATCCCTTGAGACCGACCTCTCCCCAATCCATGCCAGTACCGCTCTGCTTATGTCCCCCAAACAGAACACTAGGCGCAACCTCGAAATGCTTGTTGACCCAAAGACTCCCAGCCTCCAACTGCTCAGCCATTCGTCGAGCACGACTGACATCTTTCCTCCAGACGGACGCCCCAAGACCATAGTTTGATGTGTTAACCCGGGATATGACATCGTCTTCGGCCTGCCACTTCATAACAGGGACTATTGGACCAAATGGTTCAGTTTGCACTATCTCTGAATTCTCAGGTGGGTTGTCGATGAGAACAGGTGGCATGAAGTACCCTTTGCCCGATGTTGCAGCTGACGCGTTGCTAAAGACACGCTTCCATCCTTGCTTATCGATCTGCGCATAGAGACGCTGGAGTTTCTCGTACTGCATCTTATTCTGAATGGGTCCAAAAAATGCCTCAGGGTTAGTGAAGTCGCCGGTCTTGAGGGCTTCTAGGAACTTGACTATTTCAGCAACAAACTTATCGTAGATACTCTCATGGACGTAGATGCGTTTGATGTTCATGCAGATTTGGCCACTATGGACATATGCCAGAAATGTGACCTATTAACTCGTTAGTAAACCTTTTGTCGTTGGGTAAGATGTAGGGAAATGTACCTTTCCAGCCACTGCAGGAATGTCAACATCTTGACAATCGCAGCGTCATTCCCGCCCAATTCAAGAGTGGCACGCTTCAATGTAGCAGCACAAGCCGCCATGATCTTCTTACCTGTCTCGGTAGAGCCAGTGAAACTCACCTTGGCTACACCAGGATGAGCAGTCAGCATAGGTCCAAGGTCATCAGCGCCGCTCAAAGCCTGGAATACGCCAGGAGGAAGGACTTTGGCTCCAATCTCAGCCAGCTTGAGAGCAGAATAGGGAGTATATGGCGAAGGCTTCCATATAAACGTATTACCAGCCAGCATAGCAGGGTATGCTTTCCCAATGCCGAGCAACATGGGGAAGTTCCATGGAACGATGCCGACGCCGACGCCAAGCGGAACGTAGCGTACAACGGCTGTTCTCTGCGCATGCTATTAGTCTCCATTGTTCAATGATGAATAGTCTGGGAACTTACATCTTCATTATCCTCAGGCTTATCCTCCTTGATCCTAAACTTCGGAGTCTCTCGAACATGCTGCATGACAAGCATAAGCTCAAAGCCACCAGCCTGCGGAGGTTTCCCAGCTTCACGGCCTAGAAGGTCAATGAACTCTTGCTTATGTGCTTCGATGGCATCTGCGAATTTGATGAGATAGCTGGAGCGCTCATCCCATGATAGCTTTCGCCATGCAGGATATGCTGCTTTCGCAGCGCTTACAGCTCGATCAACGTCATCTTGGTTCGATACGGGTGACTCCCAGAGAGGCTCTTCTGTGCTAGGGCAGATACCATGTCGGGTTTCTGACGTGGAGCTTAACTGGTTGTTTATGACGTTCTGGAAAGTCTTTGCTAAGAGTCAGAGAGCTGTAGATTTATCTAGAGGGAACCTTGCGTACCTGAAAGTCAACTTTCTGCTCATCGGGGAAACTCATGGTCACAAGTTGAGGTCAATGCAAGGTAACTGATGAGAAGCAGCAGTCATCACTCAGCGAGCGACCATGTCGAATACTTATCCCTCAGACTCTCAGTCAGGCAGTCATCTTCCTTCTGGGTAGACTTAACTCCATCACAAGCAGGATTACAGCAACTTAGCCAATGGTTACTGCTCATGAGCCTGTACCCATGCTGTTGGAATAAGCACAATGTCAGATATGTTGCATCTTCAATGCCAATGTGGATTAGGGCTGACGACACGACAGGAATAGCTCCACAACATACAGACGGCTCGCCAATGGATTTTATTCGACCAAAGTACCTAGTTGAGTAAGCGACTGATTTGATAATGTCGCCCGACCCTACATTACCCTGAGACCATGGATTGGAATCACATCTGCTATGAGTCAAGATTCTAGCTCAAGTTCAACGGTGACTGGCCAGTATAAGGACAAACAGACTTCCACTCATTAAGTCACTCTCGGACCCAGTCTTCGAAATCGTCACAACACAAGTATTATATGGCGTAAATCGTAAGTGCACCAGGGAAGACATATTTATTGTAGTACTAAACAAGTCCGTTGACCTCACACCCCAGCTATTATTCTATGAGTCTATGATTTGGCCCCGAGCCCAGCTACCGGCCATCTAGGCGTTGACACGGTCGAAACCCTGCTGCATAGCCTTGAGGTGGCTCCAATCATGGCTGTCAAGAGCAAGAGCCCAGGCCATGACACTCTTGATGCCGCGGGTCTTGGCAAGGAGGTTGATCTTCTCAGCGATGAGCTCGGGAGTGTCCCAGGTCCAGAAGATGCGGTTGAGGGCATCCCAGTACCACTGTCCACCGTTGACCTTATCAGTCTTGCCCTTGTCGAGAGCCTCGTGAAATGAGGCTGACAGATCAATACCGTCACAATGTCCGTAGGCAGACTGGCAGCCGGCACCACAGTGAGCAGCAGTATCACCACTATCGCATGTTAACTAATGTCAGGGAACGATTTGGAAGATTACTTACCACCAGCCGGAAGCGGCACAGCAAGATCCGGTGGCGCACTTGAAGAAAGTGCCAGCACCGCAGGTAGCATCAGGAGTAGCAGTCAGGTTGGTAGGAGCAGAGACAAAGTTGACAGCCTCGAAAGTCACGGAGCCAGACTTGCCGGTGTCGCTACCATCGGCGGCCTCGAGGAGCTCGGTAGGGCAGCCGATGGGGTTGGTGCACTTGTAGCCCTTCTTGGTGGTGAACCACTTGGCGTAGAAGGCAATGCCGAGGACGAGCTTGTGGGCGGGGAAGCCGAGGGAGAGATACTTGTCGATAGCACGGGCGGCGCCCTTGACGGAGACTTGGTGGGTGGTGTAGGTATCACGGCGGTTCATGAGATCGTAGGTCATGACCTGCAGAAGTTAGTGGGAGGTGATACAAAGCTAGATGGAGTACTTACGTTGACAAAGTCGACGGACTTCTCGATGAGAGGGGTCTCGCTGGGGATGTAGGCGATCATATCACGCTCAAGACCGGGGACAGCGATGGAGAGCTCCTTGGAGCCGATGAACTTCTTAATCTCCTTGAGGAGCTTGGGGAAGGCCTTGATCTCGTAGGTCTTCTTGGAGTTGACGACCTGCTTGTAGTCGGCGCCGTTACCACCAGGGTACTCCATGTCGATATCTAAGCATGTTAGCAATGTTCTCATCAATGTCAAGTATAAATAGTGCACATACCAACACAGTCGAAACCGAGTCTATCAAGATTAGAAGCAACGCCACGAGCGAACGTCTGGCGGCTCTTGTCGGTCTTGAGAGCCGCATCGAAACCAGCATTGTCGGCCCAACCACCAACAGCAAGACAGACCTTGATGTCGTGGTCAAACAGAGCGCGGACCTCCTTAAGAGGCTGGAAAGGCTCATACTTGCCAGCAGGCTCAGTAGTGAAGAGCGAAGAGTCGGCAAAGGACATCATCACGTGGGTGACGCTGTGGGTGATATCCTTGGAGGGCAGATCCTTGGTGTGCCACTGGTCGTAGTAGATGATGTTGCGCGAACAGCTCGCCTCGGCGACAGCGTAGGCGCTCAGACCTAGAAGGGTAGTAACGCGCATGATTAGAGAAGTTAGAAATGAGTGACTTTGGTTAAAGGAATGTAGGAATTTGCAAAACAGAAAAACGAAAGAATGAAGACCGTTGGAGGTTGATGAGCTAGAATATAGAAAAAATGGCGCGGTGCGGCGGTTTAAATGCGCCCTTAACGCAGTGCCGCTGTCCCTTTTGGTCAATTAAGTTTAATTAGAAGCTAAAAGTACATTTTCTAGAAGATGAGCGCGTCAGCGTTTTACCACGTATTTAGTACTACTAGAGTTTAATTACCCTAGGTTTCAAATTTCCACCAGTGAGAGCGCATAGG